TCCTGATTTTTTAAAACGTTGCGAATAAGACACGATAAGTGAATGCAGCTTTCCTGTATCCCTAGAGACGTTAAGTATTATAACAAAAAAAATTTGTGATGGATCAAAAACATAAAAGAGCATTTAGAATATGACAATGTAAAATAGAGGAATATATGAGGAATATTCTGCAATTTAACATTTATAAGATTATGACCCAAATGCCAAATCACCTTAAACTTTCAGATATCAGACAAACTAGATGACTGCCTTCATGAAAACTTAGAAATTACTAAAATAAAAGGCTCAAGTGTTTATAGACAACATACTGGAAGATGGGTATAATCATCTCCTTGGTCAGCTTCCATATCTAAAGTTGGATCAACCCGTCGAATCTGCAAAGAAGACATGCCGATAAGGAGAAAAACAAATGTAACAGAAACATCCCAGGTAAATCAAGATTTAGAAGGGGAAGAAAATGATTTTCTAAACAGCACCTTCCGACGAGCTTCACTTGCCAATATAGCATCCTCCTTCAAAAAAATTGCCAGTTCCTCATCCTCAGCAGCTTCTGCTGCAGCTGCAACAGCATTCCTTGTACTGTGGAGGTATTCCGCTCGGAAATATTTTGTCCAGAAGTCTTTTTCTGTCATCTGAAATAAGAATAAAAAAAGAAAAAAAGCTAGAATCATGCCTTGAGAAATGTAAGAGAGCAAATAACAGACTACCCAATTCTCTGATTATTATCCTAGCCTCCAACAAAACTAAGGACACGGAAAACTGCCTGATTATGTAAAGTTTTTGTTTCAATATCCTCACTACCTTACTGGGAACCAGAGTAAGAAATGCCTGGTGAACAGCTGGTTTCAGGGCAAAAATCTGAAAAGCAATGTAACAATTAAGCATAAGAACCAAAGAAAGTATTCCCAAGATGGATCACTAGCTCTCATACAGAGTATTTGTAAACGTCAAAATAGAAGCTTTATGTTAAAGAAAACAAAGAAGTGCAAAATAAAAGAACCATACCTGATATTTAATCTCTGGAGTCAAATTAAAAGTAACCTTGTTCATCTGGATATTTCCGCCAAAAAGAAAAAAAAAATCAGAACCACAACTAAATGAGGAAGAAAATGTTATCCATAACAAAAGGAATCCTTGTTTATCAAAAAATAGTTCTACTAAAAGCCACCAAGGAGATGCAACTCTCTATAAGGAACAAGTAATTGTTGACAAGAAGAAAACAAAGCACTCATTAATCAAGGAGAGAGAGAGAGAGAGGTTCTACCCGGCCATCAGTCATAGGTTTGGTGTCCAATATCATTGAACTTCTGAAACCAACCCGTTGCTTTGACTTTGTACGGCTATCTCCATCAAGCAACTTCTGCAAAATTGAAAGAGTAGAAATGTATCTATATCACACTACACACTTTCTGCTAAAAATAGTTTCCATTGTAAGCATAGCCCCCAGAGAGGGGGGGAAAGATCCAACACTATGTGTACACTTATAGTTAAAATACAAAATTAAACACAGAACTTGTACAAACATAGATGTCTGCAATAAACTATCTAACCTTCCTAGTTGCCCAGAACTCAGATTCCGTCAAGACACCACTGATTACAAATTGCATATGAAGTTTCTGCAATTCACTGAGAAGAATAAAATTTAGTGATACAAAAACAGGAAGTATAAACACAGATTATGTCAGTTCTACACTGAAAATGCTACACCCAGAAGCAAACAATCTAGTAACAGGAATTATCAAGTTACACCAGTTCTCAAAACACAAATTAGAAGCGTTTTGGTGGACAATTACTGTCTAAATTTCCACCTAGAAAGCAAATGCAAACAAAAATAAAAAAAAGCACACAATAGAAGGCAACATAAGCACACAATAGAAGGCAACATGATGGACAAAAAGAGTCACCTTCACTATTAAAGAGGGAAATGATAATAGCAAGGTGATTGCAAAACTATTTTTGACTTCAGATGTTCAGACACAAACACAGCCACACAAAACCAAAGGGGGTAAAGAAGTAAGAAGCGTGAGGCATATTTCACCTGCTGCCACATCAGCACTCCATAAAATAATTAGATGGAGTTTAGCTTTCGTCCTTCAACCGAAGCATAGGAGTACAATTTAACTTTTAAACTACCCAGTAGTGGAAATTGGACCTATAGGGACTAGAAATTTAGTTTGGCTTTGAATAAGTACCAGGAAATTATTGCAAATTCCTTGTACCAGAAAACGGATCGTGCAAAACACCATGGAGCAAATTGTTTGGAAAAAAAGACAAAAAACAAGTATTTGAACTCAGCAATCTGAACTTGAAAAGAAGGGGCAGGAAAACTTTAAAAGTGGAGGCCAATGGCCATCCAGGATTGGTATTTCTATGGTATTATTTGTACCATATCAATGCTTAGTATTTCTATGGTATATGCCTATAGAAAATATAAAATGTATTTTAAAAGTACATAGGAAAGAAAAACAGGCTTGAACTTGCAAAACCATGTATGAGTTGAAGGGTAGTGTGATCCTGATTCTTTCCTGCTCATCATATATTGGATTGAAAAAAAGTAAAACTGCATAATATAAAACATATCTATATAAGAAACAAAACAAAATAGCTTAAATCTTTTCCATAGCAATACAGAATGGGAAATGCTGATGATTGCAACCTGATCATGTGGGTACAGGAGACTACAGTTACCTGTCTTCTTGTAATAGCTTCATACGGAGCTGCATTTCTGTAGTACTGAGTTGTTCATCAGGCAATGTGACTCCAGATTTCTCAGAAGTCGTTTTTGCAGCAGAAGTAGGTTTTGCAGCAGAAGAAGCTTTTGCCGCCTCTCCAGACTTAGCAAGGGCATTGCCTATTTAAAGCATCAAATAACACAAACTAAGAGTAAATAATTAACCAATACAGCAACCAAGACAGAACAGTCAAATGTTAATATATATATACATATATATGTGCAGTGTCATAAGCTTCAAAAGAAATCAGTGAAAATGGAAAGAGCAATGATTGGCAATGAATGGCATGTGGATAACAGAAAAGGAGAGGGCATTAAAACATTCCTTGCACATCTAAAAATAGCATTTGCATGGAAATTTCTCAAAATTCAACTAAAAAGCATAAGTCAGAGTATACATCAGCAGAATGGTAGATTTGCAGACAATATAGAGCTAAAGAAAAATGTGAAACTGAGAATTTGGACAAAATCAATCTAGACTTCTATTAGATGTTCTGGATGTGATTGTTACCTACAAAATCTCGGCATACATGAAGATCGTGAAAACTTCCAAACTCAAAAATGTAACATCTATCCTGGGGAATCACAGAATAAATTTTTGTCAATGAAGAAAAAGGGAACTGCATTAGACTAGCTCTAAATTAGTGGGAGGTCATATCATAGGTTACAACTAGAAGAAAACCTTGTCACTGAGATTAAGCCAAGGTGGTTTATCTGTTCCCTCCTTAGTGTTTTTGTGACCTGAAAATTCAAAAGAAAACGCAATATAAAAAAAATTACAACTCATATAACTAGCATGATATGTAGGGAAATTGAATGATGGGATGTTAAAATGAGTAATTTTTTTTTTTTGAAGGAAGGAAAAGGAGTACCTGTAATGTATTTAAACTCCACATCGAACTTCGCAGCAGACGAGGGGTCGTTTGGCCTGAACACAAACTTGTTCTCTGTCTGCACAGGCCAATGTATGTTCAAAAACAAAATTAAACAAACAAAATGATTCTATACATCACCAAGAATGAGAGAGGGTGCACTTTTAACAATTACCCAAACTAGCATTTGGTAGAATGTGGTAGAATACAATGTTTAAAACAATGATGAAACTTAAGACTAATTAAATTTGTATTTTTGAAAAAAGAAAAAAAAAAAAAAAAAAAAAAAACAAACAAGAAAATAGAAGAAGAGAGGGAGTGAGAGAAAAGTAATTGGAGTACCATAGTTAAAACGCCGGGAGTCCCAGGATCTTTGATTTTAGACTTGTAACTCGCACGCTTCACCACTTGCCTACACGACATCTTCTTCGCGATCGCTTCTTTAACAGAAACTAAATTTCACAAAAACCAAAAGAAATTCAAATCAATCAAATTTGTAAAAATCCTCAGATATGGAGTTAGGGTATTTGACGCAAAGCGATGATGTAGCTTAGGGTTTTGGGTTGTTATTACAGTTACGGGACTGAGGGAGAGGCTCTCTCTCTCAGAGTACTCTGTATGTGAGTAAGCGTCTTTCTCCTCCTATTGCAGGAAGGGAGCTCTATTAGTCGAACCCATTTATTTGCTAAACAAACCCCGCACTGTTTTTTTAATGAATAATACTTAATTACATGTATTAAATTAAAGAAGTTGGCCAAAATACAAAACTAAAGAATATCATTTTATATATTTTTAATTTTAAAGATATAAAAATGTAAAAAATAACACCGTATAGCCGAACGGCTATACCTTAAAAATAAATACCTTAAAAATAATCTATTTACTGACCTTTGAATAGTATAGCCGCTCTTAAATATAATATTTACAAATTTATAACCCTATAATATTTGAACAGTATAGCCGTCCGGCTATAATCTAAAATAGAATATTTTAAAAAGATAGCCGTGCGGCTATACTCTAAATATAAATCTTTTTTAAAGTATAGCCGCCCGGCTATACCCTGTGAATAGCAAAATAAGAAAACAACCTCTCCCGACGAAATTCACATGACCTAATCCGGCAAAAGTTGCCCCTGCCCACGCACAACGTGCGTCTTAACTGTTGACGAAAATCGGAAAATTGAAAGTTTGGTGAACAAAATTAAATTTGACCCTGACCTCAGTGACCAAAATGTAATTACCCGGTTTTTTATTTGTTTTGGGACTCAGACTTTTTTCAGTCAGAGAGAGCAGAAGTGAGATGGAGTGGGTTGAAAAGAGAGCAGCTACGAATTTGTAGGGCATAATTTGAAATTGAAATTGACGTGAAGGAAAAAACAGAGCTCTTCGTCATCAGCTATGAATTTGTTGAATAGCAGCAGCGGCAACAGAAGAAGAGAGCTTGGCTTTCTCATTCTCTACGCAGCTGCTTTCTACGCCTTCATCATTCATCGATCCCTTCAGCTCTCTCGCGGTACCCAATCCCAAACCATTTCCTCTGTTTTTTCGTTTTGGTATTTTTGTTTTTACGTTAATTAATTGAAATGCAAATGCAATTTTCTCATACGCAGATCATTATCTTAAACTCTTTGGTTTGCGTCCTGGATGGTTGTTGCCTCATCGCCTCAATGTATGTTCCTTCTCTCCTCACCTTTCGTCTTCTTCCTTTTTCATTCAATTTCGTTTTTTTTTCTTTTTCTAGATTGTATTTCCTTTCAAAAATAACGTAGGAGATAGTCAAGAAAGATATCATAGCGTGTCAATTGAATGAATATTCTATTTCCTTTCATTTGTTCTATTTTCCATTTCCAAGTATATATATACTTTCTATAGTAACTTATTTATGGCCTGTAATTAATGACCGGAACGGTTCAGTTTTTAGGTTCTTCATCAGCTCAATTGGAAATTGTTCAATTATCCACATTTTCGTTTCAGTTTTATTTATGGAACTGAGATTTTCTAATTTTTAATTTTTCACATTTTAGATGACTAAACGACTTCGTATTTTGATTATTTTTTTGCAAGGGTAGCTGAACATATGAGGGTCATGTTTTTTTTTTCCATCATATATAAGTTCTTTAGTTTTGATTCCAAGTAGGGCTTGATTAATTATTTTAGGTTGTAGAGCTGCGTTTTAGGGATTAAAGTTTAGATCTTAGGTTCTTATCTGGCTAAACCATGAGTTTAATCCGAAGGGTCTGAGGTGCCATTACAGTTGCATGGTATCTGAAGATATATTTGTATATGTACGGGTGTATATATGTAAATTTGACTCTTTCTTAATTATCATAGAAAAGCATGATTTGGAAAGGCATTCTTGGATTGGAACTAATTAACGGTTGGCAAGGTGGGATGTTAAGTGGATTGAGGACAAATCCTACTGATAACATTCTTACACTACCTTTTATTTCCTGCTCTACATCCTCTCCCAGGGCAAACCACTTTTAGTCTATTTCCTGCATTACCTTCTTTGGCTTGTAATAGGTTGGCAATTTCATTCTTAGATAGACCTTTTCTGGATATGATTCTTGTTCATGTGTTGTATTATTTCAGTATCACTGTGTGCATAATATGAATGCACTGAATGCTCACAGAATTATAAAATCTTTGTTTGTCTGATATACCCCCTTTCTTTTTTCTGCTTAGGATGTTTCTGATGCACAATGGAGAAACTTTCAAGGAAATTTACCTGTTCTTACCGTTGTTTTCACACTTTTTACGTTGATCGCCAATTTATTGAGGACAAGCTTTCACTTAAAAGCGAGAGGGATGTCCATTATTTGGATTTTGATATCTTTCACATACCTATCATATCTGCATGGAGCCTGGTATGTGTTACATTCATAATAATACTTGGATCTTATACTCTGTCTAAGGAGGCTGCAGTTCTCTGACTTTCGTTGTTTCTGCAAGCATCATATTTATCCTCTCAATCGCGTCGGTGAATTTTCTTTTAGTAAAGGTGAGTTGCATTCAAGTGTGGATACATAATGTAATGCATTTCTTTTATCACTGTTATCATTAGTCTTTTTCTGTTTACAGTTATATTGCATTATTTTCCTTCAGTTAAGTTGTTTTCTGAAATATACAAGTTCCACATGAACCTTAGTGTGTAAGTATGTGTTATGATCACATAAAGAACATTGCTCAGGTTTCAAAACAATGTGATTTCATATGAAGAGTTAGCCAACATTTGTAGGCTTTAAGAATGTCTAAACTTTCATGTCTTGCTGACTTAGCAGTTGATATTCTTGTTCATTTTATACCACTCTTTGTGCTTCTAGGAGCTAAAACTTCTGAAAATTTGAAATATAATACTTCGATGGTGAGGGCGCAATCTGTTTTATTCTCCGTTTTTAAATAAATATTTGAATTACTCAAACTTGTTCTAATTTAACACAGTGGAAAAATATACGTTGGGGATTTAGTTCTGACTTCTATTTTATTATTTGTTCCTTATTACATTCCAAATTTTAAATGGTTACTTGTTTTCTGTACAATTGCAATTCATTACTTGTAAAATCTGATGGGAATAGGGCTTCTAGAAAAAGGTACAGAATGACTGTAAGCTCTTATAATTGTTGTGAACCTTTTGCATGTGAAATTTAAGGTGCTGGGTAATTTTGACAGTCAAGAGTTGATGTATAAGTTAGTTTTTCTTTTTATAATTTGGTTTTATGCGAGTAAAAATTGTGTTTTTGCATGCTTTATCCACACAAAAAAAAATTATTTCCTACATCTTAAGATCACCAAAGAAAATAATATACAATCTGAAAATTTGAGTCTGTTCATGGAGTTCATTTTGTTTCTTTCATCATCATAGCTGTGCTGTGCTGTTTTTTATTCTTGCCATATGTTTACTAGACTTTTGTTTCTGCAGATATTTGCACGAACAAAGTACTTCTCTTTTGTATTTTGGATTTTCAACATATTCTTTCTTCTGTGCAATCGTGTTTATGAAGGATATTCATTTTCCATGATTGGGTGAGTTTTGTTGGCTAGGCTATTAAGCCCTTCTTTGGGTAGTTAAATTATTAGGCAATAAATTCTGATATATCTGCTTACTGGTCTGTTTATCATTGTACATAGGCAACAGTGGGCATATTTGGATAACTTTCGGGGCACCTTTAGATGGCACATTTGCTTTAACTTTGGTAATTTTCATTCCTCATGATTTATTTTTTTGTTGGATTCCTAATGATTTTTTTTGAAAATTTAATTGCAATTAGCTTACTTTCATTATTGTGGTTTTTATATATCATATTCCACCTACTCTTCCATATCATGTGCATACAATTGGTCGTCAAACAAATATGTGTAAATATGTAGACACATACATGCATCATAACAATAACCCAGATGGGGTTACCAATATGAACTTTCCTCAACACCGTATAAGAGTTCTTATGAGCCATCACTTTCCTCAATTTCAAAGATAATGCTTTGACTAACATCTTATATGCAGAACTAACTATTTAATTCATCTAAATTCCACGGCTCTCCACAACAGAACTTTCCCGGGGACAATTAAAAATAGATATAGTTGGTCCATGTGTTAGCAATCTATTTATTGAAAATTCCATGAAAGTAATTCATCAAATCCTTTACTAATACAAACTCACAACACAAAGTTCAGACTGATGAACGTTTAGAGTAATTTGGGGCTCCTCTCAGTGACAGCTTTTTTGGTTCGAATGAAGGTGAAAAGTGGCTGCTTGGGGCAGACCCACAATGCCACAGCTTTAAGCTTTGTGGATGATAGGTCAAGGGTGTGCAAGGCTTGTTATATGAGAACTGAATTGGTGGATTTATGGGTCTTAAAATTTGAGTCGTTTCATGAGTTATGGCTGTAAATGGTGTTTATGAGTCCTTTCATCCGAGTGGTGGTGTAAAATTTTGATTATGGTGACACTTATTAATTGACGGGTGGCTTAAGGTTAGAGGTAGGCTGTGGAGTTTTTATTGTGAAGATGACTAATTGATGGTGGAAGTGCATGGTTTTGTTTGCGACCATGGTGGCACACAATGTGTTGGCAGTGACCATGGCGGCCCATGATAGGTGTGGTGTTGGGAGATGAGTTTATTTTTAAACTATTCATTGCTTTTTTATTTAATGGTGGATTTACATATCAGTAATTTTGATCTTGATTCTTGTGCTAGTCACATGGTCATTGTCTTTTGTAAGGAAAATGAAATAAATTGACACAACTCTTCTGTTTTAGACTGAATATTGATTAAATTAAAAGTACATGGGGGCAAAGCAGAACTGACTTCAAAGTTTAGAGGGTAATTAGATACCACCCCTTAAAGTCACAATAAGATTAAACTTAAAAAAATCTTTAAAGTCACATTACTGAAATTAGAAAATGCGAAATCAAAAGTTCATTGCTCCTCTTTACTTATTTCAGTAAATGCATGAACAAAAGTAAAAGTAAAAGTTTTCAGTTGAGACACATAGAGGATGGAAGTTAAAAGTTAAAAGGAGATGGATTCACGGGGCACAACAGGCATGCTTTTATATGTTTTTTTATTTTTATTTTAACTCTGGCTGTTTGTGACAGTTGTTTTGCGCATGATAAGCTTTGGCTACGATTACCATTGGGCACATCGAGATTCTCGTTTTGACCATAAGGTAATTTTTTTCCTTTTGAGGTCTGATCTCTCTCTTCTCTTTCCTGCCCAACTCCTCTGATTTTTTGTTACCTTGTCTACATGGAAGCCGATATTACAAACCTTTCAAGCTTCTGGTAGTGGTAGTGATGTAGGGTAATAGTAAGAGAAAGGATGAAAAGAGAGATCAGGACTCTTGCCTTTGGTATTATGCAGTAGGTGTATTGGACTCACTCCCAACGAAATTCAAACAATTCCAGCATCACAACAAATTTACTATGAAATGCTAAAAGACAATTCGACACCTAATCATGTGACATAAAGAGACTCAAACATTGAATATAAGACTCCAAAACAATGAACCTAAATACATGTGTAATTAATACATTAAATCTTTGCAGGAGATAATTTATTCCTCCTTTTAACAAAACCATTTAGGCCTCCTTACATAAGTCAAACGGGTTTAGTCTAGAGACTATTCTCCAGCCCACCATGGTCTGAAGAATAATCAGCAAATGTTACTTACTGCTCTAGACCCTTAAGTATTTTTTTCTTCAAATTTTTCTGTGGATGAGAGTCAGGAGTGGTTATTGATTTCGCATTATTCAACCCTGCCCATTTTTAATGTCCTTGCTCTGCAGCTTGCTTTTATGGTGCATGATAACCTTTTCACTGGCTTTGAAGTTGATATGTCGTTAGTTTTCTGCGCTCATACTCAACAGCGTAATTTTATGTTTTGTTGTCCTTCACGAGCTTGCCAATTACTATGTAACAGCATTTAATCTAGTGTTATCTGGAAATCCTCAAATCAATTCATGTATCAGTACCTATTGGTGATTCCCGGGTTCATTCAGATGGAGTTTCTCTTAAGAGTTTATTCATGCATGCAGATTATTGTCAAGGAATACTTTGTGCCTTAAAGATTTACTTAGTGGTTATACTTACTTTGGTCTTGCAATTGCAGAAACACATTCAACGGTGCGATATTTGTAAATCAGGGAAAACTTGTTACCAAAGTTTACAGGTTAGCTTACACTATCCACCAAGTGTGAGTCCAGTATTATTGTAGTTGATGGATCCTTAAACTAACTTCCATCTGAATGAATTTCTCCATATGCTCATAAACGTGCTTCTTTTACTCAGGAGAGAGGTGTCCAGAATGACAAATTTTCCTTTATGACTTACCTTTCTTATTTGGTATATGCACCACTTTATCTTGCTGGGCCGATTGTAAGCTTCAATGCATTTGCCTCACAGGTCTGTCACTTTCAATATAGATACTGTCCTGTTCTCTTTCTTGTGCATTAGTGTTCTATTTGTATGATTATTGTCTTTCATTGATGAACTACTGAAATGAATGATAATTATCACAGACTATCCCATTTGAGAAACATTCTTTGGTTGCCCAGGTGTTTTTCTAGAGATAAAGACTTTGGTGATATTCAGATGCTTAAAAATACAAGTATAAAGTTTGAAACACCTGCCTTCATGGTACAAACTTCGAATGAAATTAGCTACAATAATGATATTGTTTAGTGTCTTTGTTTCTTATAATAATAAAAAATTGATATTGTTTGGTTGAAGACTTCTGATATACCCTGACTGTTGCTGAAGCAATACATTGACTGTTGTTCCTGTAGTTTGGAATTTTTCCTACATATGTGATTTTTTCAAACTAACTCAAAGAGTTGGTCATTTCTGGATTATCAAGTGCACTGGATCTCTGTTTCCATCCATTGGATATGCTAGTCCTTCCTGTATGTTACTGCAGAGTTTCATCAATTATCTTTATTGCAACGTTCTTCCAGTTGGATGTTCCTCAAAATAACTTATCAGCTAGAGACATTGCTTGGTATGGTTTGCGCTGGGTATTCAGTCTTCTTCTGATGGAACTAATGACACATCTTTTTTATTACAATGCGTTTGCAATCAGGTGAGTGTCTTTATAGTTAAAGATACACCATATATAGTGTGTGTGCGTGTGTCCGTGCATGCATGTTCTATCTTTTGAATAATATTTTAACAATTTTTTCTTCTTCTGTACCTATTAGTGGCCTGTGGAAAGAGTTACATCCTATGGATGTGTTTATTATTGGATATGGGGTAAGAGATGGTCCTTACATTATCAAGGTTTTTCATGATTAGAGTTTTAATATCTCAAGTTTTCATATTATATGAATGGAAATACATTGTGAAGCTAAATAACGTATTATTAATTTAAGGTGGACCATTTACTTTTGGAAAATGCAAAGGACACACCATAGACAATGTTTGCATGGACAGTACTGAATAATTTATTTCTGTTTGTGAGATATGTTGTACAAAATGCTGAATAAATATATCTTTAAATAGAAAATATTCATAAGTTTCTTTGGATTGAGAGTTAGTCAAAAGCTATTGGTGATTAATGCTTTAAAAAATCCTCAAATGGTTATTTGTGAAAAGGAGTCGGTACTATTAATATTAAAAACTAAATTGTGATCTTTATAGTCCTCGTGGATATGATGTAACAATTTCTTATGTAAACATTTCCAAGTTTCTCACCATACTCAGATACTATGCAGTCTGCAACAAAATGAAGTTTAAGGGATTGGGTTATCTCAATGTTATATTTCACTTTGTGAACTTTTGTGAGTGAAAAAGTATGTCAAATGGCTTTTCTTTATGGGTCTTTTAGTAGTTTTCCCTTTTACTTTGTTTCAATTTCCATCCTCGTTGTTGGGTGGTTTCATTTATTTATTTCAGCTCAGGTCAAGGTTATTTACTTTCTTATGATTTGTGCAGGTTTTAATATTCATGTGGCTAAAGTTTTTTCTGATATGGCGCTATTTCCGGTTCTGGTCACTGGTGGGTATATGTAAATGACGTTTTATTTATTTTCTTCTGAAATTTGGCCTTTTCTCTGGGTGCTGTCTACTATACGTTGTTCTATCTGTAATTTGTGTACATAATGATTTAACAAGCTTTAAGTATTAATGTTGCTATACAGTGGGAAAGTGATTTTGTTGTTCTTTCCAATTACTGCAGATATGTGGCATTGAGGTCCCTGAGAATATGCCAAGGTGTATAAATAATTGCTACAACCTGGAACCTTTTGGAAGAACTGGCATGCTTCCTACAACAAATGGCTTGTGAGGTGAAACTTTCAACCTGTTATGCTTTGAATTTGTCTTGTAATCCTGTTTCTAACCCCGACATGTTTGTTGACAACAATAGGTATTTGTACATTCCTCTTGGGGGCACTCGGAGGAAGCTTCTCAATGTGTGGGTTGTATTCACATTTGTTGCCATTTGGCATGATCTAGAGTGGTACTTCTAGCTGCTGTTGACCTTTTCTTCTTGATTACATCTTACTTTCCTGTCAAATGGGAGCAGAGCCTTGTTGAAACTTGTGCCTTACTCTATCTTATTTTCTGTCTTTGGCATTAGGAAGCTTCTTTCCTGGGCATGGCTGACGTGCTTATTCTTTATTCCGGAAATGATATTAAAATCAGCAGTAAATGCATTTCAGGTGACCTCTTTCTTCTTATTTTACGGCTTAAGTTAGTGAGGATGACCATTCCAATTTTTCCACCTCTCATATAGCCAAACACCGTACTGTTGTTTCTTGGAGGTATTCAGTGCCAAAAAAGATTTAGCTATACCTCCTGAACAGGGACAGAACTTTTTAAAAGGAATGGGCTGAGCATATAGACTGGGGCAGTGGTTGTAGGCTATGGGTTTTGGCCTTTGAATACTTGGGCTGGGTTAGCACAACCGTTATGGTGACTGGCTCTGTGCCTGCCCCTGAACTTTGCCATGTGTCCCACTTTGGTCCCTGTTTCTTTTTGTGCCAAACTGCCCCTTAAACTACAATTTTCTTTTTGGTTTATATCTTGAGTTGTATTCTTGGCAGGTTGAGAGTACTCATGGGGAGTTTGTTGTTCGCGAACTAAGTGCAGTTGCTGGTGCTATCACTATCACTTGTCTCATGGTCTGTATTCTATATTTAATTAAGGCATTTACCATTCATAAATAGTTATGTTCCACTTGATGATCATACTGACTTTTGAAATTTGTGTGTTTAATACGACGTTTTCCTGGAGATCAGTAAAATAATACCAGATGATTAAATTCTCAGTACCACATGAACATTCAAAATTCTTAATGCGCCAAAATGAAGTAGTAATAAGGACCTTTTTCCGATGGTTCTTATGAAACAATACTTGTCTAAATTTAGACTTTTAGGAGTCTTTTCCTTCACTCGTCATGTTGATCAAAGGGCATGCTTTATATTTATTTGTAACATGTTTGTGCATCTGACTTATTTCAGTGAGAATCCAATGCTCGGAAAACCTAAGGTACTTAGCACTTCAAAGTACTTTGGGTTATATCCAGTTGCCAAACTGATAATAATGAATCACTGACGTGTTGCAAAAATGGAATGACCTTATGTGTTGACAAGAATGAGTAAATGCTATCATGATACAAACATTCAATTAAAATGCTAATCCTTTTGCTTTATTAACGCTTCTGCATCCAATATTTTTATTAAAGCCAATGCTTGTGTAGGTAGCAAACCTTGTTGGTTTTGTTATTGGACCATCTGGCATTAGTTGGTTGATTTCTCAATTCCTTAACAGAGAAGGTATGTTGAAATTTTATATCCTTAAGTTCCTTGATATCCTTACAAATGCTGCTGCTGGGGTGGTAATGATATTCTTTGTACAGGACTACCTGTTCTGGCTGGCATGCTTTTGACGTTTTATGTGGGGACAAAGGTAATGCCATAATGATCTAGTTATATCTCTAAGAGTAAATTTATTTATACAGACACCCTGTGGGGTTTATTTTTCCATGAAATTTATACACCTTGTGCTTTAATCAAGGGGAGAACTGGTGAAATCTGTTTGACAATCAGGGCCTTAAACGGGCTGTATTTTTGCGCAAAAGTAATTTAAATCCAAATTTTTTTGATATATTAGGAGATCTAACGCCTGATGAAAAATTAAAGAATTTTTTTGAGGTGGATAATACGTAAAATTGTTATTTTCTAGTAACTAATGCCTAAATATAATGGAGCAAAGCACATGGTAGTCTAATCATAGGAGTTCAGCTCTCTGCTTACGTTTCTGATATTTTTCTTGTATAAAAAATTAGGTTGTTTCAGGCTTTCTTTCAATTATCTTCCTCATAAAATCTTTAAACACCAACGATTTAATTTTAGACCGAAATGACACCATTTTGGGCACAAGCATAATATGAGCAACAAAAACAGAAGCAGCGAATCGTTTTCCGTTTTCTTTTTATCTTTTGGTTATAACAGTGGGTGTGTGCCTGCCATTTCTATGATTGGTCTAAAGTTGGATTGTCCTGCAGCTTATGTTCCACATCCGTGATGCAAAGCAAAGTAGCAGCTAAATTGGCTCGATGTAATCGGCCCCGATGGCTAAAGGCTGGTATGGAAACCAACGTCCGTCCGAAGTTCCAAATTAGAGACGGGTTTGCCGATATTATAATACAAGGTATGTGGGTTCACGCTGAGGACATTTGAGCTCACTACTGAGATCTTACACAAGTGTGCATACTGGTGGACAAAATTAACCTTACATCATTCCACATTCTTCAGTTGTATAGAATTAGGAAAGAAATATACTTTTGTTAACGTAGAGAAGTTAATTCCAATGTACGACTTTGATAATTTGTCAAATTTCTGCGCTGTACTGTACCCATACTTTCTGCCAAAATTTTGATTCCAACTTTTGATTCTCAGACTCTAGTAAGCACTTTGGGACCATTGGAATCCAGAATGTGATTTGTAATTTTCTTGTTATTATATTTTTTTAGGGATGGATGGGTGGATTCGTTTGTTTTTTTTTTTTTTTTTTTTTTTTTTTTTTTTTTTTTTTTCACTTTCTCTTTCAATCTCTTCGACTCAACTTTTTGATTTGTGTATTCCAGTAATTACATTTTATATTTTTTGCCAACTTTGGGTCGGATGAACTGATGTTAGTTTATACCCTATATTAGCAAACATTAGTTCATTTAACATAAGAACTTTTAAATAATAAATACCAGAGGATAGAACACACAAAATAAAAGCTGGACTTGCAATTTTGATTAATTTTTTATGTATTATTATTTATTCAAAAATCATGGTTCTAATGCTGCAATGGCAGAAAATAGAGCACAATACAATGGGAAGAGAATGAGGGATTATATTCTGCACCACTTCTTGCAAGCTTTTGAAAGCAGAAACTATAAAATATGGATTACATAACTTTGTCTCCTACGTACTTCTTGAATTGAATGAGCGGACGAAACTGCTTGCGCATAGCTAATTTGCATTTTTTTCTCTGCAATAAGGAATCTGCTGCTGTGATTATTCGCCTTTGAGAATCAGGTCTCTTCCTTGTTGAGCTTCTGGTTCCCGGGCCACCATGCCCTTCTGCTACACGATTTGAACTCGGGGACGTCCATTTGTGTCTAGTAACTGGTGTCGGCCACCATTGGAGGACAACTGGGAAGGCAACTCTCCCAACAAGAATCGAACTAAAACTAGCCGGAATTTCCCACCCCTTCCCTAACAATCCTAAACGAATGTCAAGTACAAAAATGTGTTGATCCCATTCTAGATAAATCTTATCCTTGTCAATTGGGTCGAAAGCAAGACCCATAAACTTGTCAACCCAGCGCCCCTCAAGTGTCACTGTTTCCAAAATAATGGGTACATGGAAGTTTCGCCTACCAAACACCATTGCCTGCAGCAGCGCTGTCCACAACTTGATCATCTTTAAAATCGAAAACACTTATATTACCATATGAGTCTCGCAAGCATATTCGCAGACACCCTTCTCTGTTACACACTCCTACCAAGTCTATGTATCCATCCTCATTTTCAGGCTTATCGATGAAACGTAAATAATACTTATGATCACCAGTGCTACTACTATTATTGGAGTAGGGATCCAAACCAATAATAAAGGCACCATCATCAGCATGAGCAGCGCTCCACCAGTACAACATTCCATTGCACGCAACCCCGGCATTGCAAGCCAAGTTATCGAAACGAAAGCTTTGTGGACTTAATACAACCGACTCTGTCCACTTACCGGTCTCAGAAGAGAAAATCTGCGCTTTGAATTGGGAGGATGATGAACTCTCTCTCCCTGGAAATTCAGGAATTAATCGCACAACACTGTACCTATACTCGGCATTAAGCTGGAATATTGTACTGGTAGTACTAGTAGTATTATAGTAGGGATCGCAAATGAATCCAACTCTTATACTTTTGTGGCATTGAGGAGGGGGAGGAAGAGCATCCCATTGCTCGGTGTATGGATTGCAAATGTAGTAATCACGTTGAAACCACGTGGTTGCGCAGCATAAAAGCAAGTCATTGTATTCCCCTACCACGATGGGTTCACCACCTCGTGTGTTGACACTGACAGCAGGAGGCTCTTGAAAAGGAGGCAGGAAACTCAAAACAGACGAGTTGCTGGTTCTTTTAGGCTCCTTCCCCCAAACGGAATAAAACAATTTCCTTTTGTTCGTTGGATTCGTGAACAGGAAATAAGTATTCATGGGCACCTGGTTATCACTTTGGAGACGTACAAAGCGGCCAACAAAATAAGGATTAGAAACAAGACCGTACCAACGTTTGGACACGCACATGCATTGAACTGCCGATTTTTGAGGAATTCGACAAAGGATTTCGACCAATAAACAGTCAGGGAGATCATCAAGATTGAACATGGTGGTGCTTTCAGTGGCGATGTTTTTGAGATATTGTGGTGCTATAAAATTAAGACGGATTGTGTGCAAATCGATTGCAGGGGGGATTTTGGGAGTTGAGATGTATGTACGTCTCTTGAGAGCTTTAGAGATTTTGGGGTAAGCTATAGAATATAGGCAGCTCACTTTCCTCATATTTATGTAGTGCATGTAATTGAGAATCCCAACACAAAAAGGAATAGGAAAGACGGATATCCCAACACAACAAGGTTTTAAAAAGCGTGTTTTTAGACTGAAACGGTGTCTTCAAGTCCTGTCTTTTAATGAAACAAATCGTCTTGAAAAGACTGAAATCTTTTTTAAGTCGAAAAAAAAAGGGAAATAGGAAAAGATATCAATCGATATTTTGGTATCTTTTTATAGTGCACTGTGCATGTAATTAAGAATCCAAATACAAGAGGGAAATAGGAAAAGATATCCCCGTACAAAAAGGGAATTGAAATGAAACCATATGGAAATTGGAAAGTTTTTATTATTTTTTTTTTATTATCACCAAAGAATATAGACCCTCGAATTGAGATGAAAGGTCTACATCGTGAAGCTCAAAACTTGCTGGACCTTCTTTGTGAAGCCCAAAATTTGCAGAGGGTTTTGTTTGAGCTCTCCATCGCCTTCTATCCCAATCACCACTGTTATAACTAGTAAAGGTTAGAGAGTTTTCTACCAAATGTTATAACTAGAACCAGTAACGGTGTAAGGAGTACATGATGGGGTCATACTGCTTCCTTTTGGTCCATTTTGGTCACAAAAATCACTTCTCCTAATGAATAATAAAAGGATATTGTAATATATATTTAGTAGTATCTTGACGCTTTTAACTTTTAGTGGGTTCCTTTTCACAGGTTTGGGGGTTTTCAAATTTGAAATTTTTTCACCCGTTTTTACATGAAACTTAAACCCGCGCTTTAAGGGCAATTCCAGCAGTGGGAATCTTGTCATGGCAAGGGGGGGCTAGGGCTGACACTATTCACGGGAATAGTGTCTGCCCTTGCAAAAAATAAGTTGCACTTCCAGCAGTTGCCATGGCAATGAGGTACTATTCAATTTGTTGTTTTTTTTCACAAATTTGTTTACCTAAACAATTAATTTGGACAATATTTTCAGATGAGATTTTCTGATAAAATATTCGGATAAGATTTTTTGTTTCAAATTTCAAATAAATTTTTTTTTCAAATTTTCAATTTCATATAAATTTCATCTGAATTTCAAATTTCATATAAATTTCAACTTTTCATTTGAATTTCAATTTCAAATAAATTTCATCCGAGTTTCAAATTTCGGATAAGATTTTCACCCTATAAAATTGCGCCACGTGTTATCTGAATTTCAAATTTCAGATAAATTTCATTTGAATTTCAACTTTTCATTTGAATTTCACATTTCAGATACATTTCATTTGAATTTCAAATTTCGGATAAGATTTTCACCCTATCAAATTGCGCCACGTGTCATGTCTATCGACCTAAATTTTTCTATAAAACTAAGGCTCAGCTCACAAACCTCTCACACTACATCTTCTAAAAAATTTCATTTCTCAGATTTTAGATTTTCCTCATCGCTGAGATTTTCCCCTCTTGCATGGTCATTCATCGCTTTTGTGAGGGCATCTCTCCATTTCCCCAACTCTTTGTTGAGAAGTTTCCACCGACTTGATAATGCGCTTTCCGTACGGGTGGAACCCGATCTTTCAACAAATTCGTGAAGAATTTGTTTCCACATTTGACTGAATTTCATCTCATTACCCGATATGAGATCATGACTAATTTGGACCCAACACTCACACAACAAGACATCTTCCATGATGCTCCATGCCCCTCCGGTTTCTTGAGAAAAAAGCCATAATGATAGAGAAAAATTAAACTTGAAAATGAAAACAATTTAGAGTAAAAAGTGAAGAAAATATTGAATAGAAAATGAATAATAGTTGGAGAAGGAGAAGATGTATGAGAATTTGTTGTTAAAACTGAAGAGTAGGTATTGGTATTTATAGAAAAAAAAAAGTATTTTTTTGGGTTTTTTTAAAAAAATTTATTACTTTTTTTCATAATTTTTTGCCTTGAAAAATGTCAGGCCATTGGATTGGATGACAATGCGAAATCGGAAGGACCACAACGCGCCACGTCGCACAGAGCCATTGGGGGAAAAGCTGACGCGCGCATTTCAATTTTTTTTAACGTTGGCGCGTGCATTGCACGCGTCAACGGTAAAAAAATTTAAAAACCTCGTGCTGGCATCAGCGATGACGTCAACCGCTCCCTCCGCCTTCAGGCCAGCCCAGGCACATGGACCCCACCCTGCCCGGGCTAGCCTTTGTTGCTAGAATTTCATTTTGGGCTCTTGCCCCCGCCCCAGCCCAAGCCCTAGGGGACTACTAGAAATGACCTAATATCAGTCGTTGATGTTGATTTAACGGCCATAATTGTTGTTCTCCCAATAGCTTAGTTGTGAACGTTGACAATAGAGACCCAGTCCCTGATTAAAGCCCAAAAAATTAAGAGACCAGATGGCCAACATCTAGGTTTACACTATATGTAATTGAAACAATAGCGGAATACAACTTGAAACAAATTAAAAAAACTGCGTAGCCGTTCTCCACTCTCTCTTCCCTTATGGCCAAAGCGAATCCAAACACAAACAGTCTCTTCCATGCTCTCTGTCTTGCATCCTCCCGAAGAAAGAGAAATGAATTGAAGGTCCTGACGAGGTCGGATTAGTCCTTGGTAGGAATGGAAGAAACAACCGCTCTTTCGTCTTGAGTGGTCAACAGCCTAGTGAATCGGGACACAAGGGGAGCAAATCCAGCTGAAGCTAGTTTCAGTTGGATTTGAAGGATCTTCCTATCTTTGCATCCTCCCAGAGACGAAGGTCTAGTGATCGGATGTATCCTCATATTGAAGGTCAGAATGGAAGAACTCTTTCGTATCATGTGAACAATTGGTGGGTGAGTTCGTACAACACTTTTTTTTTCCAAAATATATGCATATTTTTTTTACAAATTTATAAATAAACCCAATCCTAGACATGTATTTATAAAAAAACCCAAGCACTATTTAAACATAGAAACACACCCAAAATCAACTTTTTGGTGTGTTTATAAATGGGTTTTGAGTGTGTGTAATGATGGGTTTTGGGTGTGTTTATATGTTTAAATAGTGCTTGGGTTTTTTCATAATTTCAACCCCCATTTTGGGTGTTTTAGTGAAACTCCCTTTTTTTTTTACTGAAAGGACCCTTTTTTTTTCTTTTAAAAAATAAAAATAAAAATGTGGAGACAATCCCAAAATTCCCAACGGCTATATCCTTTCTCCAAGATTTAAATGGCTATATCATATCTGTCAACATTCATCTTTCAAATCTTTTCTTCATCCCAAAATTTCCAACCCAGAGCTTTCTTCATCCCAAGATTTCCAACTCAGAGCTTTCTTCATCCCAAGATTTCCAACCCAGAGCTTTCTTTCCAACCCAAGATTTCTTCATCTTCTTCCCCACCCCATGCCATCCGAGTGTACATTTGAGTACACAGCTGAATGAAATAATGAAATTGCATATGCTGCAGTGGAAAACCCAGAATTGCACAAATGAATGGGTAGAACTCAATTTCAGACTGTGAGTGAGCGAATGGGCACTTATAAGCAAACAATTCATATTCCAGATGTGGTAGGTTTTTCTTCTTTTCCTTAATTTCTAATTTGGGTTCTTTTTTCTTCTTTGGGTTTAATTTTGTTTCTTTTATTTGCAGGGATATGCGACCCTCAAGCAGCAGACACAAAGTGCTCAAATTGAAGCCGAGACTAAAGTTCATGTGGTATTTTTTTTATTTTATGTTTCCCTTAGAATTATGGTTTTAAAAATGTGTGTTTAGGATTCTTTTCCTTAATTTCTAATTTGGGTTCAATTTGAGCATTTGTGTATGCTGCTTGAACCCAAATTAGAAAGTAAGGAAAAGAATCTTAAACACACATTTTTAAAAACATATTCTAAGGGAAATATAAAATTAAAAAAATACCACATGAACTGAGTCTTAGCTTCAATTTGAGCACTTTGTGTCTGTTGTTTGAGGGTCGCATATCCCTGCAAATAAAAGAAACAAAATTAAACCTAGAGAAGAAAAAAGAACCCAAATTAGAAATTAAGGAAAAGAAGAAAAACCTACCACATCTGGAATATGAATTGTCTGCTTATAAGTGCCTATTCGCTCACTCACAGTCTAAAATTGGGTTCTACCCATTCGTTTGTGCAATTCTGGGTTTTCCACTGCAGCATATGCAATTTCATTATTTCATTCAGCTATGTACTCAAATTTACGCTCGAATGCCATGGGGTGGGGAAGAAGATGAAGAAATCTTGGGTTGGAAAGAAAGCTCTGGGTTGAAAATCTTAGGATGAAGAAAGCTCTGAGTTGGAAATCTTGGGATGAAGAAAGCTCCGGGTTGGAAATTTTGGGATGAAGAAAAGATTTGAAAGATGAATGTTGAAATATATGATATAGCCATTTAAATCTTGGAGAAAGGATATAGCCGTTGGGAATTTTGGGACTGTCTCCACATTTTTATTTTTATTTTTTAAAGAAAAAAAAAGGGGGTCCTTTCAGTCGAAAAAAAAAATATTTGTTTTTTGGAAAAAAAAAAAAAAAAAAAAAAAAAAAAAAAAAAAAAAAAAAAGTACGTCGTACTCACCCACCCAATTGTTCACATGATACGAAAGAGTTCTTCCATTCTGACCTTCAATAGGAGGATACATCCGACCACTAGACCTCGACCTTGTCTGGACCTTCGTCTCCGGGAGGATGCAAAGATAGGAAGATCCTTCAAATCCAACTGAAACTAGCTTCAGCTGGATTTGCTCCCCTTGTGTCCCGATTCACTAGGCTGTTGACCACTCGAGACGAAAGAGCAATTGTTTCTTCCATTCCTACCAAGGACTCATCCGACCACTAGACCTCGCCCTCATCGGGACCTTCGGCCATCTGGTCTCTTAATTTTTTGAGCTTTAATCAGGGACAAGGTCTCTATTGTCAACGTTCACAACTAAGCTATTGTGAGAAGAACAATTATGGCAGTTAGATCAACTTCAACGACTGATATTAAAACGTGGGTTTAAGTAAGTTTCATGTAAAAAAGAGTGAAAAAAATTCAAATTTGAAAACCCCCAAACCCGAGAAAAGGAACCCACTAAAAGTTAAAAGCGTCAAGATACTACTAAATATATATTACAATATCCTGAATCTCAGTTCTAGCACACAACTGCATCTGTGCACTGTTCTAGGCCTGAAACTGGTTAGCTTTGCAATACGATTTTCAATTACCCTCTAGTATTTGTTTCTCTAATATGCTTACAATTGACACAACAAAATACGTGTTAAAAGTTCTAAAATTGAGCAACTAAGGAGCTATACTCAGCTCTACAGAACCAAACCAGACAGAACAGACCTTGGAAGAGCATATGCATTTTTCAAGAACTTATTCTTTACATTGGTCTTGGCTGTGGTCATATCAATCCATAAAGGTAATGGATTTATAACCAAGGGAATATGGAGTCTTTTACAAACTCCTCCTTTAGATCCTTTACTACTAACTGAGAAGCCCCACTGGCCTTGGCCTTCTTTTCTAGAACTTCCAATTCTTTTAAACCCTAATAATTTTAAAACAAGTAGCAAGCACGCAAGTCAGAACCACCGTCTTAGAGTACATTGCAGAAACAAGAAAATTTTTACTTTGAAGTACTTGCTACTGGTAACGTACTTGACCAACATCGGCTGTGAAGCAAACAACATCACAGCCGTAGTTCTCCCTGAAAATAAAAATAATTGTACAAAACCATAACGATAAAGTAAATAATCAGAAGTAAAAGCTAGTAAGTTAAGTGTGCCCTTAGAAAACACATGAAACGACATATGCAATATGCATCAATAGGCATTAACATTGAGTCTAAGGAAATGGTGCCTGGAATACATAAAACAGGCTGTATGCAGCACACAGAAGAGAACTATCCTATAAGGCAATTTCACTAATCTTTAATCCGACAGTATGATAATACAGGGGGAATACCTTAGCCACGGAACAACGACTGATGTGTCTAAGCCACCACTATAGGCCAGAACAAACTTATTCAATTTGCCACATAATCCTCTTTCCTTCGCAGATCCCGATACTTCTGTCTCACTATAACTGGGCAGCACTGCTCTAATAACTGCATTGATATGAAGATAATATTACATTGGCATCTAAGACCTCAAATATTTGAAGCTTATGGAGAAGAAATATGCCGTTTTCATGAGGAGAGCCTTGAAGCTTACGGAGAAGAAATATTTTAATTTCACAATCAGTTAAGGAGTTCCCACTTGAAATACTTTTAATCAGCTGTCGTAATCGTATCATCAGAAAGTTCTATATATTGTTTGAGATGCATCATGCCAGGTAAGGCTGTTGAGTAGGATTCCAACCGCTTCTGAGCTCCCCCAGCTGGTTCTCCTTTGGTTCTGCACCAGATATTTGCATGCACAATGACAGATGTCTGGTCTCTATTGTCTTGAGTATAAGAATGGCCACCAACTGATATGGGTCAACCAAACACCGTTAAGCTCCTGTACGGCATAACTCCATCTTTCCTTAAAGATCTTCATTTCAATACAGGTAAGCATCTAAGAAGCAGATAAGTACATAAGTGGTTGCGATGGATGAAAAGGACATATTGAGGCTTACTTTAGGTCTATTATTGACTTTAAGGGAACCCAAGGGTTCCTAAATTCTCGTTGTACATCAATAATCTAATGCAAGGAAAAATGAAAATTAACAAAGAATTCAAACACACATGTTTTTGAGTCTTTTTTTGAGGAGGTAGGGCAATATTCACCTGTGCAAATGAATAGATGGAAAGTGTGACAACATGGAACATCAACGCCAAAGTTGAGCTTATCCTGCCAGAACAAAATAAGCAATCATTTCGAATGCACATCCATATCAGCTTATATTCATCAAACTACTGATGTTAGTCACCTGCTATAGATGGGTAGGACCCAAACCGTGACAAACCAGACAATATGTCATCATTGCCATTCTAAACAGTTAAAAACCTAAGAGGCTGATACTTGGCTACTTGCCTTAACATCATTTCGAATGCACATCCGTATCAGCTTATATTCATCAAACTATTGATGTTAGTCACCTCACCTGCTATAGATGGGTAGGACCCAAACCGTGACAAACCAGACAATTTGTCATCATTGCCATTCCAAACAGTTAAAAACCTGAAGCAGCTACTTGCCTTAATGTCATCTGCGATGCCATGTATGAAATGTATGATAAACCATTCAGAGCCGATGACAGAAACATTTTTTGTTCGATCTCCCTGAAAGATAGTCAAGGAACACAGCCAAGAGGGTTAAAAATGGAAGCTACAAGCCTACAGCCTACAACACTGGAAAGTTAATTGTGCAAAATAATAGAGCTGCATTTCACACCCCCATGAATCAAGTCATTCTGTCACTTTGGAGGGAATAATTAATCAGAGAACAATAACCCATAAAGACAAGATGCAGTGCAGAGTTGACGCAACCCAATTTTGACTTCCTTACTCATAAAAGCTATTTGCCTGCAGATTGATTTGATGCACAGTATTAAACGCAGATTGATTTGATGTACAATATTAAACGCGGATAGATTGATTTAAAGGCTAAAATACAGCAGCTTTCCAAATCATCAAAAACAGTCTGAGAAGAGCTCATTCCTAAACTCTGAAGGTACTCACGCCAAAGGGATGCCCAAAATCAAACCCTCTCCCACAAGATCCACCTCCTCGCCCCTTCCTCAAAGATCCTCCTATACCTCTATCCATACCACCCAAAAAATTACCAATACAGTGCATTTTGCAACTCCATGCCCCTCTTTCTGCCTCCAAAGAACTCAAATCTTGCACTATCATTTTTACAGATCAGACACGGATGGGGTAAAAGGCACCAAGAAGGTTGTCTCCTCTGAACCATATCACAAGTATTCAACCACCCATGAACTATAATCCAAGCTAACACCCCTACCTTAGGAGGTACTTCAGCCATTCAAATTGCATGAGAGGGGCCAAAAAGGGAGAGAGAAGAGTTGTCCATTAGCTGTTTTGAAAAAAAATTACATGAGAAGACTCCCAGCAACCCCAAAATCCATTCTCTTCTATCCACTCTAGATGGAACCACACATTTTCAAAGCCAATAACTCTGTTAACCCCCACCTCCTGATAATTTAGATTCCTTCTAAACCCAAAATCCTAGCTCAAAAGAAAAGAAGAAGAATCTGTACACGAGCTTGCAATGGGATATTAAGGAAAAGGGATCATCAGCATAACGAAGAAATAGATTACAGAAAGCTGTTTCTCCTACACAACAGTCTTCTCAAAACCTCATGCTTTGTCCATTTGCAACCACAAACCAACAAAAAGACACCAAAGAATGTAGGCCTCGGGAGATATATTTCCAAGGACATTGACCTGAACCTCTCGTCACAATTTTACAAACCCCACCCGCTGTCATGCAACCCCTACCAAAGAGCATCCCTCTCCTGTGAAAACCTCCATAACCATTTCACATATAAAGGTTTATTTCTCCTTATTAAATTCCCAACACCTAAACTCCCTTTTTTCCTTCATGTGCATCACCAAGTCCCATTTGACCAAATTACCCTTATTCCCTTCCATCATTCCTTCGCACAGAAAATTTACCATCAAACTTTCATTCCTCTTATAAAAGATGTCTACACTCCCCCAATTTATCTTGGCCTAACAAGGACTAAGAAGACCAAATGTGACCAATTTTTGGGGGGGAAAAAAAATCAAATTGCTGGGTTTTGCTCCTTTGGAAGTTTAGGATCCTATGTAAATTTAAAGATCAATCTGGGTCATGAGGATGAGGACAAAATTTATAGAAAAATGAAATAAGAATCAGAGTAAAGATGGATCTCTTAGAAGGAAAGCGAAGCAGAAACTTTTACTTTCACTGAAGGTCAAAGATTTAGGGTTTGGGGTTTGAGACTCTCCCTAGTACAATGACACCACACAGGAAGTGAAAAGAAAACTATAGACTCGAAAAAGATGAAGCCAGATATGTTTACACTTAAAAAGCAACAGAAAAAGGTCAGATATGTTCTTCCATCAGAAAAGACCACCATTATTAACTCTATTCTTGCCAGAAAGTTTTTGTTCTTCCCAGAGTACCTTTCACCTACAAAATGCCAAAATTCTACCTTCCATTTTTTTCTTTTAGCTTTATCTTTTTTCTTTTCCTTTGTCTTGAAAGAAATCCATGTACTGATAAATCCCTCAACCATATTGGTGCCATTGTTTTCAAGTACTGTGGCTATTAGTTAGACTGCAATATTACAAAAGAAATCTACTTATCCAGGAAAAAGAAATACACTAACCTCTGCACTTCTGATTTCTTCATGCATGCATTGACTGAACGTTACGGCTCTGAGTTGGCAGCCAACTGCAAGCTGTGATATTTCAAGTCCCTCTTCCCGAACAATTGCTAGATATCTACATGAGATTTAACATGTTCATGATGGAATAAAAAAATTTGAGCACCATGGGATAAAAGGAGAAACAAAAAAATTGTTTATGTGATAATGTGTCTTATAGTTCAAAATACAAGGATTGGTTGAGTGTTGTCATCTTTACTGGTAAGAAAATGGCAAAGTAGCGGTCTAAATTTTAAAACCATTTTTTCAGGAAAAGTAATGCCTTCATTTCTAACAATTTCTCCATAAAATCTGTTCAAACTATTGTTGTATAAATATGTGAGACAGTTTTTTATCGGAAAGACAAGAATGTGAGGTATAATACTTATTACTAGGAGAAATAGTCACATATTATGCATTCACATGTGTGTGTTTAGGGGTAATTGAATGGCTTTGTGACTCTAATTTGGAGAAACTAGACTTTGGCATTTAACTATTCTAGGTTTAATTTCTTGTGCACTCAGATTAAACAAAATCATGACATTCTAATAATTCCAATTCAGATATTGCAGTTAATAGCCTTGTGCACAGGAAATAAGCATACATACATGTGCAGGATTGCATTTTTATTTTTAATCTAAAACATCAAAGCATCCAAAATAGTGTGAAATCTAACAGCAATCACATCACAGAATGCCAAAGATCATTCTATCAAAGTTAACTGGTTATGCTTACCATTTTTTGTCAAAAAATCCTCAACGCCAAGGTCCTCATCCCAGAGAAACATATGATATATGTACTCGCTGAATGAAGAGAAAGTATATTCACATAGCAAATAAAACACTTGAAAGACTACAAATCCTGTGTCACATTCTCTCGATACATAAATAACTAGGTGTAAACGCTCGTATTCACAATTCATAGCGCTTACACAAAATCACTGTGAATATAATTTTTTTAAATCACTTTGCTTGTAGTGCTCACAGATAAAGATTTAAAACCCAGAAAACACCAACATCGAATATCGGTATTTTACGGTCCATCAATTCCCTCAATCAACATCGAATATGTCTGAGGATGAAGCTGGCAACCCATCTTCTCCATGATGCTTACGAGCTCAGAGCATATATTGACAAGACCCCTCTTAAGTAAACCATCAAGGAGAACTTTCCAAGCTACTTCATCATAGTTATACCCACAACGAAGCAAAGTACAAAAAACGGCTTTTGCCTTCTCAGTCCTCTCTTCATCAAGAAGCCCACATACAAGCAAAGTTGAGGACTCCAATGTTGGTAAATAACCATCCTCAATCATCGCATCCACAAATATTGATGCCTCTCCATACACTTGCAACTTACAGCAACAAGCAAGAAAAGAATTATAAATATCCTCACTGGGAGAAATTCCTCTCTCTCTCATATGACTGTATAACCTCTGGGCTACGTCCAAGCGTCCCTCTTTGCAAAGACCTACTATAAGCTTGTCATAAGTGTTCGTACTGGGTGCACAACCATGCCCAACCATTTTTTCAAAGAGCTCTAAAGCAATTTCAAAATCCATTGTCTTCCATACACCAGTAATATCGATGGAGGAGACATTGGGGACCAAATCAAGTCCCACTATATTATTGTTTGTCTTCATTAACTTTTCATTCGAAAGATGTTTGATCAGAAAGGCATAGGTATAGTGAGAAGGATCACAACAAGCATTTGACATACGCTTAAGAACATCAAATGCCAAATCAATTAATCCCATACGTCCATATGCATCAATTAATAATGTATAAGTCAATGAGTCTGCTATAATTCCCTCTTCATTCATCTTAATCATCAGCTTCTCTGCCTCTTCTACATTCCCTATGCCGCAATATGCATGAATAAATGTAGTATAAGTAAATAGGTCAGGTTGATTACCAGAACACACCATCTGGTCGAAAAGCCTATGAGCATGGTCAAAGTCCCCTTCTTTCAACATTTGCTTAATTAGAATTGTATAAGTAGGTACCGTAGGTTTCACACCAATACTTAACATTTTTTCCACCAGTAATAATGCTTCCTTCAGTTTTCTTTCTTTGCACAACACATCTATCAAGGTATTGTAAGTGTACGAGTTTGGCGAACAGTCTTCTGCAAGCATTCTATCAAGCAAGGAATGGGCATCGCTGACTTTCCCAACCTTGCAATAACCATCAATCAAAGCAGTAAAGATCACTTCATTTGACTTTATGCCTTTCTCTTTGAGAGAATCGAACAGGGCATGAGCTTCTTCCAATCTCCCCCTCTTACAGAGAGTGTCTATGAGAACACTGTAAGTCCATTGGTCAGGAACCAAACCACTATCTTTCATCAAATTAACCAACCTATAAGCACTATCCAAATGGCCTATCTTACACTGCCCATGGATTAATGAATTATATGTAACTAGGCTTGGCGAGAGCTTCCGATCAAGCATCTTATTAAGCAGTGTCATTGCCTGGTATACATTTTTCCTTTTACAAAACCCGGATATCAATTCATTGAATGTTCGAGCATTTGGACAACAATTACTTGACTCCATCAAAGCCAAAATATCAAGTGCAGCCTCAACTGTTCCCTCCTTACAGTACCCATCAATCATTGCGTTGTAGGTGACAACATTAGGAACCAACCCTTTCTCCAACATCTTGTTTAGCAAGTTTCTAGCCTCATCAAGCTTATTTTCCTTACACATACTATCAATGAGCACGGTATAAGTATAAATATTTGGTTCACAACCCTTGTCCGTCATCTCTTTAAATAGATTCATAGCTTCTAATTTCCTTCCCAATTTACACAATGCACAAATAAGAACGGTAAATGTACGCACAGTTGGAAAACAATTATCCTCCCCCATTTGAGAAAACAACTTGAAAGCCTCATCAATCCGACCTACCTCACAAAATCCATGTATTAAATTAGTATAGGAAACCTCATTTCTTTGACAACCCTTGTGCGGCATTAGCTTAAAAACCCTATAGCCAGTATCCACATCCTTATTCCTACAATGTCCCAGAATCAAAGAAGTGTACGTAAACGTATCAGGGCGCAAGCCCGCCTGCCCTATCTTACTAAAATACAAGTCTGCCTCAGCCACATTGCCCAATTTACAGGAAGCATTGATCATGGTATTAAACGTATGCAAATTCGGCGAAACCATATCGTCTAACATCTCCAAATACAGAGTTTTCAAATCTTCAAACAAGGAAAACCTAGACAATGACATTAGGAGCAAATTGTAGCACCTGACAGTGAGCTTGAACTCGAATTCTAGAGAGCGGTTCATTCCCCGCAAAAATTCGAGCACAAACAAGGCATCCTGAGCGGAAGTGGAAGCCTTGATCATCGAAATTCGGATCTTTTCGGCGACCCGGAAGAACCCACTGGGGATCAGAATGTTGAGCAAGGAGGAATGGCAATGGACGGTGTGCCTGTAACCGGGTTTGAGGGCGATCCAGTTGAAGAAGCCGAGGGCGGTCTGGGGGTCGAGATTGAGAGCGAGAAGGGAAGAGACGTGGGAAGCGGAAATGGAGGGGATTAGTTTCTTGAGGGAAGGGTGGCGTTGCCAATTGGGGCGGGAGAGAATGGCGAAGAGCTGGGAGGAGAGATCCAGTGGCTGTTCGGGGACTGGAGGAAGAGAAGGAGAAGCAGCGGCAATGGTGGAAGAGGAGGAGAAGGGTTTGATGAGGAGGAGGAGAGAGAGAAAGGGCTCAGGTGGGTGGTTGATACAACAGATAATGGCAATGGGTTTGGATTTTCTCATCATCTTCTTCTTTGTTGGGGCATTGGATGGATGAGGAAGGAGGAGGACCACCCAATTCTTCAGTTCACGAGAATGGATTGCATTTGGATTTGAGGGAGTAAGAAAAAAGGTTCATAGCCTACTGTTTGCATAAAAAAATTGAATCAGAAAAATGAGAAAATGGTGGTGTTGAGGAGGAGGAGGGGAGAATAGTAGGTTTGTGTTTCTCTCTCTGCATACTCCTTGACGCTTCACTTCCAATTTCCAACTCACAGAGTCACGGCTGGCTGGAGCACCTGCAGATGCGGGCTCAACTCAACGAAACTAAATTCATGGACCTTTAGGCCTGATTCGGTGGGCCGGCCAGGACATGACAAATCCAATTTATCCTACATATGTTAACATGATCTAGCCCAGTGCAAATGAATATTATCTTGCATATTAATGGTCTCATATTCGAAACTCCATAACATCGTGGTAGTATGTGCGTGAGAAACCTTCTCCCATATAGTTTAGGGACTATTAGTTCTATTAACAATAATAATAATAATAAGTATTCGACATATTAGAGAAAATAAGTCTAAAACCCCACTGGGTTTCCAAATTCTCTTTTGTTTTTGGGACGTTTTGTTCAATGACCATTTGGTGTAGTAGCATTTAATATCCACCATCTTATGGTGTATTTATCAATAAGGAATTGAAAATCAATTATAAAGGATTTCTGAGTTTACTTCACATCAATGAATTAAAAAGTAAGTAAGTCCCACACAAAATCAGGAATTCAATTCTTGAGTTAGAGGTAGTATTCTAATTTCTAGAGAACTAACCCATTACAAATCCATCTTTTTTAAAATTCCAAATTTGTTCTATATCCTCACACAATTTTTAAAATTCCAAATTTGTCATTTACTTTAACCTAACAATGAGGATATTTTAGTAATTAAAACCACTCCTATCCCAATTTTATATGGTTTAGTAAACACCTTAACTTTAAAGTTAAGCAGACTTTAGGTGAAAAAAATAAAAGCAATCTCGAATAGGGCGTTAGTTGGAAAGAGCATGTTAGATGTAACAATATGTGACATGTTAACTAATGACGTCGCAAAAATTACAGAGAACGATCAGGCTATGTTATGCAAAATCAAAGTGTTGGATTCTAGGCTTGTATTGTTTTGCAACTTTGTGTAAGCTTCTTGTGATGATGATGTCCATGGTTGTGTTTTATTTTTATGAAATATACGGTTGCAGTTCTAAAAACTTCACTTCATACTCAAATAGTTTCATGCCCTTCCCTTTCTTCTCCCTTCACATTTAAGCTAATGCTTCACTTACCCATCAATTGCCAAAGAGCCGGCTAGAGGATTCTTTCCGCTTATCTGTTCGCTTTAATAAACTGCAAGCTTTACACACAATTGCATCTCAACAAACACTGAATTCCCTAAAGAGAACAGAAATGTACAACCTTTATCAACAAAAGAGCCTTTATATGATGCGATTTACAACGAATTGATGATACAATCACAACAAAATAAGCTGGACAGACCGTTCCTGCCCGGAATACAACAATACATTGTGTCACCAGGCACCAGCTATTCAACAAAATTGGTGAGTGAATTTCATATCACAACTTCCATGTCAGTCTTCAAATAGCTGTCGTCAGCTGTTTGAAACGAATCTGCATCACCAGAAAATTCTATATGTCGTTTGCGATATATTGTCTCACGCAGTAATTGTATGCACAGTGATGTGAGTCTGATTTCTGTTGTCTGTGTATAAGAAGGGCCACCAACCATGCATTTTGCGTGATGGGTGTCCTGTAAATAGACTTTATGGATACTTCAGTTTGCTGATAGTTGAAATGGGTCAACCCAACATTTATCCTCCTTTACTGCATTACTCCATCTTTCCTTAAAGATCTGCATATCAATAAAGGACTGCATCCTAACCTGCCAACATGTCACACTCACCAGATAAGTAGTTGCAAAGAATGTACATGAAATAGTTGCATTGTCTACAAATGCCCATGTGCGTGCACACAGAGCGAGAGAATACAAGATTGACAGAATCTACAATCTTGATGAGCAGGACAAAGCAGTTGACAAAATAGGACATGTGAAGAAGGCTTACTTTAGCTCTGTCATTGACTTTATCAGAGGCAGATGGTGCCTGAAATTACAAAATATGAACTCACAATATATGTAAATAAAGAATCTAATACAGAAAAAGAAATTCAAAACACACCAATGCTTCGGGGTCCCCTTTCTGAGGAGGAGCTGGAGCATTAGTCACCTATGCAGAGGAATAGATGGAAAAGAAAAAAAAATCAGAGAATATATTGAACATCAAGACCATGGGTCAGCTTATCCTGCTAGAACAAAACCAGAAATCATGTTTGATACACATCCTTATCAATAAACGTTTATATAAGAGTACATCTTGCATCAATCCAAGTATTTCACACTAATGATGTTGCATAAGCTATAGATGTATCGGACTCAAACAGTAAAAATCCAGACGAGTCTTCAACATTACTATTGTAAACAGTTAAAGAGGCCCAAGATGCCTTGATGCCACTATACTTGCCTTATTTCCATCTGAGACACCAAGTGTAGGAAGACCAAGATGAACTATATATTCAGAGTCAACCACACCAACATTTTTTGTTCGATCTCCCTGAAAGATAATAGTTCTGGTATCACAAAGTATAGCCAAGGAGTTAAAAATGAAAGCTATAAGGTAGAAGAATTACTTGTGCACAATAACCAAGCTGCACGTCCAGGCCCCATGCATGGATCAAGTCATTCTGTAGGGAGAATAAATAATCACAGAATAATTATATTCACCATAAAGTTTCTTATAGAAAAATTTCCATAGAAACAAAATACAGTGCAGAGTTGACATAATCCAATTTTGACTTCCGAAATTTCAAAAGCACTTACATATAGTGCATAGTAACTATATACTTTATAGCAAGGCTTCTGGACTGACCTTTCTAGAAAATAGTAAAAATTATCCAAAATAAAATATTATTTTGCATCTAATGGTTGTTTCTACAACAATATATTCTTGTGTTTAACTTACACGGGTTATTCAGTGTAACCATTAATAATAAAAAATTGGTAGAGGCATAAATGATGAGATCTATTGGCAACCTATCTACACTCTGTCATGTATTTTTGTTCATTACCAAAAGTAAATATGTTGTGAATGTGGGTGGTGTTGGTTTTCTAGGGGTTATTTACCTGGATCATGTACCACACACATTGCCAAGCAGCTCTTGAAAATACAGGTGCCATCATTTCCACCCAACTGTACCAAACACCCGAAAGGAAACGTTTCAGTGATGTAATAGTTTATTCAGAAATATAAACATAAAGGATAGTGCATAGGCAGTTGCTTACCCTGCACACGGAGGAGCAGAGCTGTGGTTGTCACACCTTCCACTGCCTTTAAACTTATAAAACCTTCTGTTCAAAAATTAGGCAAAGATGGATAAAAGTCAATTCTAATGTATACCGTGATATCCCAGAGTAAAAAAATAATATTACACTAAGAAAAATACAAGTTATGAGAAATCCCATGCCAGAAAGTAATTGATGAAAAGAACCATAGCAATAGTAAAATACACAAAGCAAATGCATATGGTTTGCCCATTCCTCTCAAATTCAATCATAGCTCGTCCTCTACATAACTGCAAATGAAATTTACGTATACTAGGTCATTACAAATAAAATGCCCAAAGATTACCCGTCGGGCCAGGTCGTGGTCTGGGTCAAAGCAGGCCACCAAAATGGACAGGTAATAAAATATGGTTGATATACATTGCTGGCGCATTCCCTAACAGGTTAAACTTTTGGATTCTGGTGGCTGTCTAACTTATGGTTGAAATTATTGTCTTTTATTAGTCTCCATTAGGGGTTGGCTTTTACGTGTATTTTTGTAACTATGATATAAATATCTCTGAGCTAAAACATGCAGGCTTGAAAGTTAGCGCAAGGACTAATCAAGCAATATACAGCCATATATTTTTCTCTCTTCAAAGATACCCCAAGGACTAAACAGTACCTCACCAGCATTGGTCTTTTCATATATTAAGCAGTACTTTTGCCATAGGAAATCCAGTTTCCAGGAAACAAACTGCACTAACCTGTGCACTTTTAATTTCTTCACACGTGCAGTAATTGGATGATACACATCTGACTTGTCAGGATCAAGTGCTGGCTGTGATATTTCAAGTCCCTCTTCCCGAACAATGGATAGATATCTACATGAGATTACAAGATCAAAACACAATGCATTACGTCTCTGTGTCATATTGTATTTTATTAATACCATCATAGCAGACCAGAATGATATGTGAAACTTAATAGTAATCACTATAGGGTGCCAAGATCATTTTAAAATTTTAACTGACTATGCTTACCGTTTCGGGTCAAAATTCTCAACTCCAAGGTCCTCATCCCAAAGAAAAATATATTCATACTCGGAAACTATATCTGGATGCAAGAAACGCTTGGCGAACCACCTATGTCATCATACAGTATTGTTTCATCAAGATGTTATCCAAACATGTAGAGAGTGTTCCCACCCAATGAATGGTAACTTATTTGTAACTAACTATAGTTTTAGGTAACCACGTGAGAGAATCAATGTTACCATTTTGTTTGATTCATCACAGACACGTGTATGGCACGATCACTCCAATTTAAATCTCTCCATTTATCCACAGCACCATCATAATGAAAAAGCATTACAACAAAATCACTTGATAGAAACTGCAAAACAACAACAGATATTTCAAAACATCATAAATGGACAGAATATTCTAATGTAAAGGGCATGAGCCAATAGATCATTACCTTTTTAACAATTCTGTCAACTATTTCTTTCTGGTTTATTCCAACTGCAATTGCCAGCAAGCTCATAGAAGGTTTTGAGTTTTCCTGACACAAGAATTTTGCAATTTTTAGGCAGCATAAACCCACCAAAAAAAATGAAAGAATATATAGATACACAAACACATTAATATGTCTATGGTAAATAGAAAATAACAACGGGAATGAAGCGGGTGCAATAAAGAATTTACAATGTCCCTAAACTAGAATTTGCAAGCTTTCTTATTTGTGGGAAAAGTCTTTAAAAAAATGTGCAGTTGTTTGTAAAGAAACATAAACATTATAAAAAAAATCCATACAGCATGGAGAAAAAGATGTTGTCATGATTCGCAACATAGCAAGCAGGAACAAGAACATTTTAGTTTTAGAAGCCAATAAAGGTAATTCAAGCAACAATTTGTGTAAACATAATGTAATGCTTTACGTACCAACATTAGCTGATTCCAAAACGGATGATTACTTTAAGAACATAATGTATATGAAGCTAATCATGTTCACACGGTCAGAAGAATCAGGTGTGAAAATTGTGATATCCTCAACTGAAGTAAGTTGTCGTGCTGGCGGTTATATTTGGGGATGAATGCATTGAAGATTAATGATTGATAGCTTACAACTTAAAACAACACGCTTTTTACTTCTTATGAAATTAAGATGTTAAAATGGTCGAGGCAAACTATAATCAGATGTTACTGATATGGAACTAATAATAAGAAATTTTTTATCAGATTCAGTTCAAACAGATTTCACCGGCTTTCGGACCAAGCAAAACTTTAGAAAACATGTAATACAATGATGAAACTAGTCACCATAAATGATATATTAAAGGCACATGGAAGACGGGAGAAAATACTACTTAGCAATAAAATTCATGGTTCTCATACAAGGATGAGTATGCATTCCCACATTCCCATTGAGAAATTAACCAGAAATAACTACAGAGATTTATAAACTAACTGATGAACCAATGGCATTATCTAAAATTCAATGAGAACAAGCCATAACATCTCATACATTATTCACAGAGGAGCCCCATAAAGGCCGCACTTCCAAGTCCGATGTTTTGGCAACAATTCCTTCTGGTAGTGCCTCACTCCCCAAAGGCTGGCAACGGTTCTGAGGAAGAAGAGGGGAAAATCAGCCATAGAAGTAACTTCAACTGCCATTATAAAAAGGACACATTTTTTTCTGTAAGAGGCAAACCTTGCATGTATCAAACTTTGTGTTCTGCCTAGTGTAGATCCCTTTCCATCTTGTTAATCTCTGCAAATTTTTTAGAAGTATTTAATTAATAAGAGATGACCACACAAAAAATTCATTCAGACATTTTTTTTTCTTTGCTAATGTAGAATAAAAGATGCACATAACTTGCAGAAATATTTTACACGCAGTAGATGATATTGAAACAGAAAGACATACCTCCTTATACTCCTTAGCAATGGATGCACCACCAATGAAGTAAGCACCACAGATCAATGAAGCTACAATGAAGAGACTGCAATAGAAAGATCTGTTCTTTGGATCTGACAGTGCAGAGGCCTGACAAAAACACTGAGCTAAGTAACAATCACATTGTATTGCATTTGATCCATCAAGAGCATCGGTTGGCCGTATCCGGAAGCAGAGGGAAAATAAGAAAGCAAACAATGAAGGCAGAACGAAAGCAGAAGTGATTTAAAGTAGTCATAAGCATTCTTCCAAACTAATTGACGCAGAATTATTAACTTCTTAGCCAAAGAAATTAAAATATCTGAAGCTAAGCTAACCAACAACAAACGTTGACCTTTTCCTTTCCAAAAAAAATTCTCAATAAGCAAACAGAGGAAAACAATTTTAAGTGATCACTAATCCAAATTCCACACAACAATAGAACTATCTCACTTTTAAGTAAATTCCCATGTCCATGTACTCGTGCAACTATGATCAAAGAGAATCATAACTCAGTCTCAAATTCAAAGCCTTTCTCTCTCGTAACAAAGTCTCTGCCCAAATTGAAGTTCAATTCCCATAACCTGTACAAAATTTAACTCATGGGCAACCAGTCTGGCGGCCGGGAAACAAAGAATAGAGAGAAAAAGATACGTTTTCCTTCCATTTCCTCTATATTTTCTCAGCAAACAAAGCAAAATAGTGTTCGAACTCCATTAAACCCAAAAAAAACAATTATATATATAATTAATGTTATTAATGATCCAGTCGGTAGGTAGAAGACAGTTAAGTAGAATCACAAAAGATATAATCAATCATTTTCAGGCTCATAAATACAAACAAAAATCCATAGAGAGAGAGAGAAGCTTACAGGATTGAAAAGGTTGATCATTGTTGTTGCAAGCAAGGAAAGGAACAGAAGAAGAAGAATAAGTTGAAGAGACAAGTTTTGGTTCTTCGCTTTTCAATTTTCTAAAAGAGAAAGGAAGAAAGAAGCACAAGAAAGAAAAGTCTGAGAATCAAGAAAGGAATGCCAAAAAGTCATATAAAAAAAACAGAATCACACTTTTCTATGTCAAACACATAACCGAAGGTCCAACCAAAGGGCAGGCATGCAAAGGGTGCCAGCCAGCCAATGCTTCTCCGGGCGCCCAAACGGTGTCGCTCTCCGGAAGCAACAGCCAAACACTTCAAAACCCAGTAAAAGCAAGAGAGAGAGAGAGAGGAGAGAGAGAGAGAGAGTGCTAATTTGAAATTAAATTAATTAAATATTGTAATTAGGAAGAAGCAGAGGAAGAAGGCAAAGCAAGAAAGCAAGTGGGTTTAATTTTGTGTTTTAATTTGTTGTTAAGACCTGATAATGATGATATTATTGACATTGACAATGATGGCAATGATGACTAGAGACACTTTGAACCGAAACGCACGCGGCGAGAGAGACGCTGGAATGTTTGGATAGTGGAGGGGAAGTGCGCCCTCCCCTACCTACTCTCTCGTTTACACTGTTTGCTACTCGCCATATCTTGCTAACAAGTGTCCTTCCCCCTTTTTCCTCTTTTTTTCCTAGATGTCTTCTCTTTAATTTTTTTGGGTAATTAGGATGTCTTTAATTAAGAAAAATAAAAGAATCGGCCTAAAAAGTGGAGACATTTTTTTTTTTTTTTTTTTTTTTTTTTTTTTTTTTAAAGGCATAAATTACAATTGAAGATTTTCTTCCAATATTTTTTTTTAAAAAAAGTTAAATTTTAATGATAACAACTTAAGAAGGGAAATTATTAAACCAAATACAAGAAAGAATGCAAAAGTGAATGATTAATACTAGCTAAATGATTTGCTACCATATTTGCCTCTCTGAAATTATAACAGAAGTGGACCATGGAAATTTGCTAGAGAAGAAAACGAACATCTATATATATATATATATATATATATATAAAGCAAAAGACAGAGAATAGTGAAACATTCAAAATACCAGAAAATGTATTTAGTTAATTCAAACATTAAGAATTGAAATTATTAATTAAATGAGGATAATTTAGTAAATTCACATTTTTTTTCATATTTAAAAAAATAAAAAATAAAAACAAAATCAGATAATATATCCTACATTTATGAACATAACTACCCATGTTATCTTTTTTTAATTTAAAAAATAAAATAAAATAAAGCAATTGGCACATGCTCACGCATGTGCCAAGGGGCTAGTCTTGAATAATAGAAGTCATTTTCCAAGGACTAATTTTTATTATTATTTTTTTTAATGTAACCAATAATTGTATTCATAACTTAGGCATCAAGATCATAAGTCACAAGGACAAAAATTATCGATACAAATGTGAAAGCACAGTAACCACGCAGGGTTATTTCAGATACATAGAAATACACCACAAGATATATCTCCATTAATAATGGCATAGAGACAAGGACTTTGGCATCCATTATCATGCCATCATTTCATTATATCAACTCGTGAGTTTGCTTCCTTTGCAAAAAATTATCATGCCATAATTTCATTATATCAACTCGTGGGTTTGCTTCCTTTGCAATAACATAATCTTTATTAACCTTCTCTTTCATTCTTCTAATAATGAAACGTGCTTCTAAATAAATAAATTTTGAAAATCCTACTGCAATAACTACAAGCAGACTAATACGACTATCCGATTCCTATGCAATGTGCTTGAGTTGTGCCACCATAATTGCTCAATAATGGAGTTTTTTTTTTTCTCTCTCTAGAAAATAAATCTAACGTGCACCACTTGTTCAAAGTCAATATTCCATTCATGTTTCTCTTACTAAGAAACAATAAACAAATAATTCCACTCCATTCATGCTTCACGTTGTGGTATGGTTTGGTAAACCAAATATCAGGTGTAATGCTTGCAACCAAATTGGGTTATGAAAAGGCCCTAAAAAGTTAAAAATGAGGCCCCAAAAAGACTCAGTATAGAAAAGATAAAGAAAAAGGCCCTAAAAGGTTCAAAATAAAGCCCAAAAAGCATTAGTTTCACACATAAAATCTCTTTTTTGTTAGTATCCTTATTGGATTGGAAGTGAATAGGAGGCCTCATGTTTTTGGGGGCCTTTTGGTGTCGCCCAGCCCACACACCCTGTGGGTCGAGCCTGTGGAAAGGAATATCATTCAAAGAGTTTTATTTATTTATTTTTATTTATTATTTTAATACGATAATATTTCAAGTAGTTTATTCTTGATGTTTTATTTTTAGGATTATAACAAGTAGTTTTTACGAGCATCTTCCCAGGGGGTAGGGGAAGCTCTAACGGAGGTAAGGTTCTTTCTCTCGCTAGCGGTTGAGAAGGTAAACTACCTTGGTAGACCAACGACCAAATATCCATTGAATGTAGAAGTACTCACCTAATCCTCTAGGACATAGCCAGATTTTTGTATTTGTTCATCTCTACTTATCAATAAAAGCTTTCGCCTTTGATTAAAATAGAAAAAATAAAACTCGAGTGCAAAGGAGCAAACACATTATATTGGCCAACTAACCTAACTTATGTATGTGTTTACTTTGCCTCTTTTATTTATTTATTTATATATGTATTATTATGTTGGCAAAATTTGGTTAACAAATTAAGCCTGCATGAGGTTATTAGTAATTGAAGTCCAACTGAATGCAAGGATTAAAATATCGGCCGTGCAGATAATATCGGGCCTCCAATTTACGGATATTTCGAGGGATATATCGTTATCGTTTTGGGTATCGGGAAAAAATCAACAAAAATGACAGATATAGGCATTGAAACACATAATTTTGATGTAAAACTTTCATAGATGTTATGTACATTGTCAATGAATGTATTGAACAAATAAAACTCAAAATTTACTAATAATAAGATATATATATATATATATGATGAAATATAAGTGGTATGTAATGCGCGTTAATGAAAAGTTTGAAAATAAAAAGTTGGTTATAATGAATAAACCATGCATAAATCCATAGTTTATTTGAACATTGGATTACAATTTAGATGAGTGTCCAATTACATAAATGAAGAGCTCCTATGAGGTTCAAACAATGTGGAACAACCATCTAGATTCATACAATAATCATACCAAGTCATGTAACCCGAGTAGTTTGTAAGCTATGTTTGAACATGGTGCACATATGTCTCTCTTGAGCTCCCTACTGTCCTCCCATATATGGGATAGTTAGGATTAACCCAACTAGTAGGTCCATAATATGTTTCATCATCTTGAGCTCCATATCTAGTTCTACTATAATCAGACATGACATAACCATAGCCATCATAAGATTCATTTGAGTTAGTACTAGGTCTAGATTCTTTTGATGCATACTCTAAAACATGCATACTCCAAAACATCTTTTGAATTGAATATTGCCAAAAGCCTTCACACATATATCTAATCACTGCACATATACCTCCAAAAAATCTTTTCAGTTTCAATTTGCTTCAAAATTTTTGAATTTTTTTGGGTTTTGTTATGGGTATCGGGAAATATCGGGAAATATCGGCAAAATATCGGGGATATCGCACTTATCGGGGATATATCGTCGATATCGGGGAAGATATGGCCTTACCCCCCAATATCGGTGTCGACAGTTCAAAATATCGATATATCGGCCGATATATCGGTTGTATCGGCCGATATTTCAATCCTTGACTGAATGCCAATTTCCAAATACATTCTTCACCATAAGATATAATGAATTGGCGATTATGGCTCGTTTGGGAGGCTTCTCCAAGAAGCACTTCTACTTATAAGTGCTTTTACCAAAATCGCTTTTATTATAAAGACGTTGAAATTTTCATAAGAAACATAAATGCTTCATGGAAAAGCACTTGGGAGTGCTTCCTGAAGAAGCATATGACAGGTGCTTCTCTAGAAAGCGTTTCTATGGCCTAAAAGCGCTTCTAAACATTTTCACCAAATGCTGTCAGAAGCGCTTTTGGTTGTCAGAAAGCGCTTTTAACTATTCTAGAAGAACTTCCAAACGGGCCCTTAAAGCTGTCTAACTATGGCAAAAGAAGTATTAAAGATGACTAACATTCATTGAGATGGCATGAGTATATATATATAATTTTTCTATGCAGATTTTCTTCCTTATTTACAATGACATATGTACGATAATAACGTGCAGACATCCAGATAAGTGAATAACTATATATATACCAAAAACTTTTATTTTCTTTTAGAACTATTAATAAATGACGATATGGTAGACAATGGCATACCAAGCTCAATTGGTTGAAAATTTGTTAAAAATTGTAATAAAAATGTCATACACCTTAATATCATAATTTCTCCAGTTACCTAGTACTCAATATTTTATTTTTTGACAAGTAAGAACAATTAGGCGACAATGACTTTCCACCTTATATCTATCTCCTCCTCACCCTCTCATTACTTTTTATCCCACCTCTCTGCCTCTCTATCCTTTCTATTGCAGGATGAGATGACTTCTCTTTTGAGGTATTTAGTTATATAACTATTTTTAGTATTAGTGATATAGATAAGTTATATATTATTTAATTTTTATAAACAAATCCAAAAAAAGACAGTTGACTTGTTAAATTGAATTTTGCTTATTAAATTACTTTGATGCTCTGTTGAGTGTTTTTGGTTTTTTTTTAGGAGGTTTTGAGGTTTGACTTGTTTTAAGAAATCGATAGTAGTTTGTAATTTATAGGAAGTTCGAAGCCTCTTTGTTATGTTGTAAATGAGTTTTACGTGTGTTTTTAAAGTCTATTTCATGTAAGGTTTTTTTTAATAATTTTTTTTAGGGATATTTGTTGAAATGTCACATGAAAAAAAAATTTAAGAGAAATGTCACCTGAACTTTTCAAAATATATAAATTGTCATCTGACTTTAACATCATCCAATTTTTCATCTGTAATTAAGGGTATTTTAGCCTTTTCGTTTTTAGAGTTTAAAAATAAAAAAAAAAAACAAAAAAAAAAAAAAAAACAAACCTTATATACAAGCCTTCCTTTTCACCTATTCCTAAAAAATTTAAAAATGCAAAATTTTTTTTCCATCCCCCTGTCGTCTCTCTCTATTCTCCTTCCCTCCCCAACCACACCTCCCCTCTCCTCTGTTTTTTTTTCTCCCCCCAAGACCTGAGCATGGAAGGGATGGGCTGCCATATCTGCCAAGCTGCAATCAAAACCACACCTCCCCATACCAAAAAAAAAAAAAAAAAAACAAAACAAACAAAATCCCTCTCCTCTATTTCTCTATATAGTTACAGGGGGTATGGTGGGAATTGCTTTGTGAATTTGTTGGGGAAGTGGCAGGAGTCTAAATATTTCATTTAGGTGATCCAGTTGGTGGTCTTGCCTACTATGTCACTGCTCCATCAAGGTGATCCAACACATTGATTGCTTTACCTTTTAAATCTCCTTTGTTGTTTCTTATTTCATTTAGTTTGCAAAAGAATTTACAAGAATCACTGATTCATTTTTCTGTCAATGTGGTTTTGATTGCAGCTTGGCAGATATGGCAGCCCATCCCTTCTATGCTCAAGTCTTGGAGGGAGAAAATAAACAGAGGAGAGGGGAGGTGTGGTTGGGGAGGGAGGGAGAATAGAGAGACGACAGGGGATGGAAAAAAAAATGCATTTTTTAATTTTTTAATGTTTGGTAGGAAAGGCTTGTATAATAAAAAATGAAAAGACTAAAATACCCTTAATTATGGATGGAAAATTGGATGATGTTAAAGTCATATGACAAATTATAGATTTTGAAAAATTCAGGTGACATTTCTCTTAAATTTTTTGTTCATGTGACAAATTGAAACTAATGTATAAGTTCAGGTGACATTTCAACAAATATTTTTTTAAAAAAATAATAATTTGGACCCTATATTGGACATACAGTGAAACTCCGTTTTTATTGGGTCTGCAAAAATGAGATTCATAAAACTCCTAAGGCAAACCCAAGAAGCCCAAAACAGACTTGAGAAGCAAAACAGAAAATCAAAGTGACGCCTCAGCTACAGCTGGATTGCTCAGACGACAAATGAACAGTCAGGGAAAGAAAACTCTATCGGGGCTTGGCTGAGTGAGTTTGAAATAAGAAGCAAAGTCACAGCGACTATCGGGGCTGAAGAAGGAGAAGCTCAACACAACCCTACACAAAATACAAATTTCGCAGCACAGATTCTGATTGCTGCATTGATTCCGTACTCTCTGCCAAGGTCGCTTTTAACCGCCTTTTGCTTTTTTCGTTGCTTTTTTTGTCCTTTCAATTGAAACTGATTTTGGAGGATATCTGGGTTTGTGGTTTTCTTTGCATTGTTTTTTGCCATTCGGAGATGGCTTTGATGTGATTTTGGGTTCGTTTTTGTCTCGATATACTGGATATTTTCATTATAGGTTTCGTTCTTTCCAATAAATTTAACTACTTTAACAATTCTATTTTGGGTTTGCATTGCAAGCATATATGAAAATTGGATATTTTGTTCTGCATGAATGCTGTTATTTTCTCAAATGGTGATTGCCATTCCTTGAAAAAATAAAATAAAATTCTGAAAGCTACTCCTTCCCCTAATGCCCATCAATTTCTCAGCTTTCTTTTCTGGTCTGTTTGTTTTTTCTTTGACTCTCTCTCTCTCTCTCTCTCTATACTGAAGTTGATTATTTTATGAAAGTTCAATTATTATTATTTTTCTTTTCCTTTCTCTAACAACTAATGTTTATACACAGTATGAAATTGAAGAAAAGTTGAGCATTTGATGAAAGTTTGATTTTATTTATTTTTTCTTTTTCTTTCTTTATGAGTATGAAATGAAATTTCTGTTGATGATGGTTTAAATGGTTCTTTTCTTATTAGCAATAGTCTGAATGATTGTTTAAAACTAAATTCTTTAGCTCAAATCTGTTGGTTTTTGGCCACATATATTGCTTTAGATGCTTTCACATTGGTCTTAACTACTATGTTGCTGACTCTTGTCGATGCTGTAGCTTCTGTGATTTTTATTCGTCATTGTTTAGCATGACATTTCCGAATTTGGTTTTCCTTGTTTTTTTTATTCACGTTGCTATTGAATGTCACTACATAATTTACTTTTACTTTCATCAATTTGTAACTTAAGTTACAATTATTGAACCTGATATGTATGTATCGCAATATCAGTAAGAATTATATTTTCATAATGTAACAACTAAATAAAAAACCTCTCAGATGTGCAGTCTGGACTTGAGAGGAGCCTGTGTGGAGAGGCTAGTGTGAAGTCATACTAAAAACATCATCAGAATCAGCACTATCACTCATGATTTCTTTATTTTTGTTTTATTTCTTTTGCTATATTAAGCTCATTTTTGTTAGTTTTTGTTTTTCATGCTAACTTGGCCTATCCAGGAAGATTTTTTTTCTCCTATAATGTATTCATATACTGGGTTGAATCAGTAATTAATACTTTTTCTCATTTTTACAATATCAGATATGCAGCCCATAGAGTAACATTAAGCAGAAGAATGACAGTATGATGTCTGAAGACGCTGGAGTAATGTTAGTAGTTTATGATGATCCATCAGATCAACGATCTTTGTCTTTGGATGAGACCAGCAGCACTGAGGAATCACCTGATGAGACCAGGCTTTCATTAGAGACCACGAATGATGTAATTCCATATATAGGACAAAGATTTTCTACTCATGATGCGGCTTATGAATACTATAGTGAATTTGCAAAGCAATGCGGATTCTCAATCCGGAGGCACCGCACAGAAGGCAAAGATGGGGTAGGAAAAGGACTTACTAGACGCTACTTTGTCTGTCATCGTGCTGGCAACACCCCAATTAAAACCTCCCATGAGAGGAAGCCCCAAAGGAATAGAAAGTCCTCCCGGTGTGGATGTCAAGCATACATGCGGATAAGCAAGACAACAGAATTAGGAGCACCAGAATGGCGTGTCACAGGCTTTGCAAACCACCATAATCATGAACTCTTAGAAGCAAACCAAGTTCGTTTTCTTCCTGCATACAGAACTATATCTGAGTCTGATAAGAGCCGGATACTTATGTTTGCCAAGACAGGAATTTCTGTGCAGCAAATGATGAGGCTCATGGAGCTTGAGAAATGTGTGCAACCAGGATATTTACCATTCACTGAAAAGGATGTGAGGAATTTACTCCAGACATTTAGGAAATTAGATCCGGAAGACGAGAGCATAGACTTGTTGAGAATGTGCAGAAACATCAAGGAGAAAGATCCTAACTTCAAATTTGAGTACACGCTTGACTCAGACCACAGATTAGAGAATATTGCCTGGTCGTATGCATCATCAGTCCAGTCATATGAGATATTTGGTGATGCAGTGGTGTTTGATACTACTCATCGCTTAACTGCATTCGATATGCCACTCGGGATATGGGTTGGAATAAATAATTATGGCATGCCTTGCTTCTTTGGCTGTGTGCTTCTGCGAGAGGAAAGTTTAAGGTCGTTTTCATGGGCATTGAAGGTAATAGAGTGACTCTAATATACTTATTATCATTCTTCTTCAATCAATCTATCACATCACTCATATATTGCACAGATGGATACCTTAAGTTTAACTTGGTCTAACCAATTAATTACGATTCTCTTGTGTGACTTAACCAAAAGCCAGTGCAGCATGTGAGACTCTAAACTTAGATTCTGAATTGAATAGATGGCATCAATAGGATGGGAGGTGAGAGAACTTTAAGGTGACGCCTTAAGCATTGGCCAGTCAGGTTTTGGCCATGCATAAGAGATATTGATTTGGTAATTGTGGTTCAAACTTCAAACAAGGGACTGTATTTTTTTTTCTCTTTAAAAAGAATGATTTTTTGGCAGTTTGTAGTACAATTTTGGAGTGCTAAGAAGATTTATGGCAGTCAATTCATATGTAGTTGGGAACTTTTCTTACTCAGTAAATGCAGATGATCACACCCTCATATGTGTTCAGTGCCTCTATCAGTCTTTTCCAGATAGTCAGTTTGAACTAGAAACATATATGGATTGGAATCTTCTTATACTCTTGATGAATATCTGGCTTATGCAACATGTATTTTTTTTCATAAACTACTTCATTACTCCCAAATTTACTGTGGTTTTCTGTTTTGTATGGAAGGCATTCCTGAGCTTCATGTATGGGAAGGCACCACAGACAATATTAACTGACCAAAATATGTTTCTGAAAGAAGCAATAAGCATGGAAATGCCAACAACCAAACATGCACTTTGCATATGGATGATAGTGGCAAAGTTTCCGTCCTGGTTCAATGCTGTTTTGGGTGAACGTTACAATGAGTGGAAAAGTGAGTTTTATCGCATTTACAATTTGGAGTCCATAGAGGATTTTGAACTAGGATGGAGGGACTTGGTAAATTCTTTTGGGCTTCACTCTAACAGGCACATAGTCAACTTGTATGGCCTCCGCTCACTATGGGCACTACCATTCTTGAGAAGCCATTTCTTTGCAGGAATGACTACAATTGGACAGTCTAAATCGATTAATGCATTCATCCAACGATTTTTGAGTGCACAGACCCGGCTTGCACATTTTGTTGAACAAGTATGGTGTCCTCTCTTTCAATTTGCAATAAAATTAGAATAGATTAATTGGAATAATTTTATATATATTTTTAGATATCCTTTACTCTTGTTTGGTCAAAAGTATTTGGTGAAGTCTTACTAAACTATGATCCATTTTAATGTTTCTTGGTTGGTTAAATCTAAAGGTAACTTAGAGATGATATTACCACATGAGGATTAATATTTCAATATCAGTTATGCTTTGTAAGCTCTTTTCAATTCTATCTTGCCTAGTCCACTTGATATGCAGAGTTTGAATACTCTCCGCTGCTGGACTCATAAATATAGTCATGTCACCCAGGATTTTGTAGCACATCAGAACATGGAAATTTTTCTGTTTTTTCATGTGTGACGCACCAAAGCATGCATAATATAAAAAAAACAACTGTAACAACTAAGAAGTGTTGAGCTACTATATTATGCTGCTTGTGGTCAATGTTTTACCTACCTTTGAGCTACCATATTATGCTGCTTGTGGTCAATGTTTCATCAACCAAGCAAGTTGATCGTTAACCTGTTATCTGTACTATAAAATTGCAAATTTATGGAGCCACAATTTTTTTTTGGTGAAGAGGAGGTCCCAAGTTCACGTTATCTCTAATGTTGTTTTAGGTTCGGCAAATTTATACTATTTAAGTTATCTCTTTTGTTTGATGGAAAAGATTTTCTGTCCCCTGTTATTTACTTTGGTTGCATGAACAGGTTGCTGTCGCTGTGGATTTTAAAGATCAAGCTGGAGAACAACAAACAATGCAACAGAATCTCCAAAATATATCCCTGAAAACAGGAGCACCCATGGAATCCCATGCTGCCTCAACCTTTACTCCTTATGCTTTCTCTAAGCTTCAAGAACAACTTGTTTTGGCTGCTCACTATGCATCTTTTGAGATGGAAGATGGTTTTCTTGTGCGACACCACACAAAAGCTGAGGGAGGTCGGAAAGTATATTGGGTTCCACGGGAAGGCATTATAAGTTGCAGTTGCCATCACTTTGAGTTCTCGGGAATTCTCTGTCGGCATGCACTTCAAGTTCTCTCCACAGGAAATTGTTTTCAAATCCCTGAGAGATATCTTCCTGTCCGTTGGCGCCGTATCAGCATTCCTTCTGCAAAACTCCTTCAGAGTGCTCCAAGTGATCATGCAGAAAGAATACAGTTATTGCAGAATATAGTATCAACTCTTGTAACAGAATCTGCCAAGTCGAGGGAGAGGCTAGATATAGCAACCGAGCAAGTCTCCATTCTCTTATCTCGTGTACGAGAGCAGCCTGTTTCAGTGCAAAGTACAAGAGAGATTTCATCAATGCATAGGAATATTTGATTCATAACAGTTAGCTTAGTCAGAATTCTCATAGAAGATGAAACTTGTCAAGATTTGCTAAAGAATGTAAGTCAGGCAGGCTAGGAAGCTGAATCCGCATCAGGGTTTTGGGAGCTGGCATGTGGGATGAAGTTTGTTACTGGATCATTTTGTAGTTCTTTTGGTACATGCCATCGTGGTTCTACAAGGCAATTGGTTTTGTTGGACATCATTTCATATGCCTTACTTATGACAGGTGGCTTTCAGTGGGGATGTGTACAAAGAATATATACAAATGAAATGTCCATATGTCTCTCCTTTTGTTTTTTGTATAAAACAAATTTCATCTTGCTGCAATCAGGATACCAGAAAGAATGATTAAGTTTCTTGAAGCAAGTGGCTTTCTCCTTGTGTCCCCAAAATCCGTCAACCCACAACCCAAAATGACGTTTTTCCTTTTTGAGACATTTCAACTCAACTCAGCTGAACGCGGAATTACTATAAAAACTAAAAATGAAAATGGAAATATGACAACCTGGAATTCATGCCATATAACTCATCTAACAAATTGGGGTTTGGAAGTAGCAGCTAACCTATGAGTAAGATTTTGTTTTGATGCCTTAAGTTAGATTGAACTGCCAAATAAACTCTCTTTTGATACAAGGGATATTAGGGGAGCCGAAGTCAAATCTAGGACCTCAGGTGCAAGGCAAATGCTCGTAAGCACTTGAGCTACAACTTACGTGCAAGGTAAATGCTCGTAAGCACTTGAGCTACAACTTACGCCAAATAAGCTCTCTTAATAAAATTAAAAAAACAAAAAAAGTGTCAATTAAGCTCTTAAAGCAAATAACTCTAGGCCGAGTAACTCTACATTCGGCCCAAAAGCTCACAGTTGAGCACAAAAACTTGGTGGTTGGTAGCCCATCATCAGCTGCTGCCGGTGCCGGTGCTGCTGCGGAGGAGGAGCATTAACATTGTTGGACACTTTTGGAACTGATCCATTTCTTCAATTACCCAAAGCAAACCTCTTACCCAATAACTAAAAGGTATGTTTCTATTATCTGTCCTATCTCTGCTTATAATTATCGTCCAAATTGAAAACCTATTTCCCCAATATCCCCAAAATTTCATGCTTGATTTGATAATTATATTTCTCTATATCGAAAATGTTTGCTGGGTTGGGTACTGTTTCCTTTTATACGAACACAATGTCAAAATAAATATAATATAAAAAAATATTTAAAAAAGGGTTGGTGTAGTTTTTTGCAGGGTGCTAGAGACGTTGAATCAATTGGGCGTTGAAGATGCATCCTCCATTAACGCTACACAAGCACCCCATGTGTGCAGAAGTGAGTTCTCCATCCCTTTAACTACTTTCTTCATCTTTTTTTGTTTTTTTATTCTATTTTATTGATTATTTATCTCTTTATTATTGCATTCATACGTACCATTGAGTACCATTTTTCACCTAATGGGGTTTGGATTTGAAATTGGATCATCTCCATTTGTGTAGTTGAAGAATCATGAATCACTGTCTAAATTGCTTCATAGTCTCATACAATATATGTATATGTATATGTATACCATGAATCACTGTCCGATTGTGAAAACTGAACAGTTGTGTTTTGTGCTTACGCTTGGGGAGTCATCAAATGGGGCGATTGGGGTTGCTTGAACCCCTCAAATCTTGCACTTTTACCTCGACAATAACCTAATCTTCGCTTCAAAGTGCTTGGTAAATCATATGGTTTAACTCATACAGGCTAGCCAGAGTTCAAGCCATATATAGTGTGTGGTTTCAAATAGCAAAAAGAGGAAAGATTTGTGTAACCTAAATAATTCATTTATCTACAAATACCAATAGACAAATAGGCAAGAGTGTATTGTTACAGGAGTTATGCAGCTAGTTTTGAGTAGTTGGATACAGTTAGGAGTTAGAACTTACATGGGATTGAAGGAAGAAGGTTTTGACCACACAATCCCTTTTTAATCTACAGAAGAGAAGTCATATAAATGGCTGTCTTGGCATGTTGCTTTACCGTGATAAAAACTTCAGATAGAGAATACCATTAAGACTCTTACCTTGTGAGCTATTATTTGTGTTGTGATTGTTTGATAATTTCTGGTGTTAGAAGTGTCAATTTAGCAATTCAAGTTACATTTAGCAGCAAGTTGATAGATATATCCTCTAATTTTATTTATGTTTCTTCTGTGTCTAGATCATCGAGGATTTTCAGAAGTGTCATGTAGATCATCCTATTGGCAAATTCTTTGGTGAATGTACAGATCTCAAAATAAAGCTTGACCGTTGTTTTCGGCAGGAAGTAAGTCTTAGTTATTTGGGTCTTTTTTCTTTCTGTTTTTTTGAAAAAATATATTCTTGTAGAATCTTAAGGATTACTTTCAATTTGTCCTACAGAAAGCTGTGAAGAGGAAGGTAAACTTTGAAGAGAGTAAGAAACTGAAGGAAAGGCTACAAGCTTTGAGGAAAGAAACTGCTGAGATAAGCACTGAGAATCCTGTGCAAGCTTAATGGAAAGCTGAGGCTTTCTTTTATGGATGAAAGAAGGCCTAATATCAGAACTCACAATATTGAATACAGATGGAATATAATGCCCTATCCTGCTACCACAGATTAGCGACCAGATGGGATACAAGTTGATGCCATATTGCCGATGGGGTTGTCCTCTATTCGCTTTCATTTCATTGAACTTCAGTTACATTAGTTTCTTTGGTTGCGGGAATTAGTACTAAGACAACAGATGTGCAAGAGGATGTTTCGAAAAAAAATAAAAATTTGAGGAATGTTTTTCCAAGAGAGATGGCAACAACATTTGATTCATTTTCAATATAAATTTCAGTGGAACTGCGGTTTATAATTATATGTCGAATACAATGAGTAGCTTCTTAAAATTCATTTCTGGTCCTCTTGAGATATGCCAAGGAAGTCTCTTGGGTTGCTTGCTCCAATTGCAACCCTGGTATTAAATATTGATGTTAGCGCCGATGTGGAGAGTATGAAAAGATAGAAATATTGATTTCAACTGAAATTATATGTACGCCTTATAGCCTCCAATGCTTCAATGTCTTTGATTACTGTAAACTTATTTCTAACTGAAAATTCACTAGAGGTTCCATCATTATTTTGGATTTTTATTTATTTAGTTATTTATTTATTTTTGGGCTTTGAAAAAAGCTTTACCCGTATATCTTCAAAGGGATTGATGAAGAAATTTGGGTATACTGAATTAGCGCACAAGGCCTTTTCTTCCAAACAACAAATATGGCCGTCGATCAAGAAATGTGGTAGCTGCCTGCATGCAACAAAATATACATACACCCAAAATGATGTTTGTACAAGAACTTGATTGATTAGAGATTCTCCAATAAATATTTTATGTTAAGGATTGGTTATATACTTCTAATCTTGGCCGTTTGATTGCATTCACTAAATGTATTGGTAGTCTCTTAGATGCAATTCAACGGCCTAGATTAGAGGTATGTAACCAATCATTCCCTTGATTAGATACCTTAACCTTGACCATGAAATCAAAATATACCACCCAACTTTTGGCTTCCTATGAGGTACTTACATTGCGTCCCTACCATTACCATGCATGCTAAAACATACCTACAATTTAGTTTTCAAAATAAGTTCCCTTCTATTTCTTCAGAAGATTTCTGTCTGACGGCGCCTTTCAATTTGGGCACATATCTACGTCTTTGATCACCACTGACAAAGTACTACATCTACATACCAGGAAAGTTTTGGCGAATAGCATCAGTAAGAAAGATTGCCTCTTCTTTCGTTTGACCCTCCCTCCAAACCTTGAATTTCAATTCACGATCACTAGAGTCATTCCACTGCTTTAGCAATGACATTTTAAAGGGGCCCCTTGTGTCACCAAGAGGACTCACACAATGCCATAAAGCAGAATATGGGTCTTCAAATGCAGGTGCTACAATTTCACCCCTTACATCTTCATCATCATCGCTTAACTCAATAAACTCAGCTTCGGATGTGCTTTGATTTTTCACTTTGTGTTGAACATCTTCTGGTTCACTTGGCCTTTCACCAATGATATCTGAACTAAAATGGTGTGGCTTTTGGTGGCTGACATCAGGTTGGCCTTTAGAAGCAAAATCAAGAGATTTTTGTTCAAGTGCTTTAGGAAACAACACTTTAGAAGACTTTTTTTCCACATGAACATATTGGCGGTGCCTTCCATGATGAATACCACCTTGGATTTCTGGAGACAGAATATGAAACTCTGGTCAGCTTTTCAGAAACAAATCTAGCAGAATTGTTTCTCTTCTGTTTTAAAGTAGAATCATTGAAAGGGCGTCACCACTAACAAATCAACAACACAAAACGGTACATAAATTCACCGCACGAAAGAGAACTTACAAGGCAATGGCTAAACGAGTGTTTTGTATTTCTATTAGTATTGCATAGGCCCAGAGCTCTGATCCACCGGTGAATACAACTCAGATCAATGTAGTCCCCCAATGGCACATGTAGAGGATGTGAATGCACCAAGATAACCAAGTCTTTGTTAAATTGCCTTATAGTCCGGCTTTGATGTATCCCTAATACTTCTATGTTGGGCAGTGCATTTAGAAGGATGCATAGAACCAAGCATTGTGTTTAAGATGCTTTATATACTAAAGTTTTTGTGCTCATGCCTCGTAGGCTTCTCTGTGTGATATCAATCAATATTATAACATGACAAAAGTAGAACATGAGAACAAATAATTGTAAGCGCCGCAGGCCATGCTGGTCTAAATCTTGGTTATCCGGGCACATCATGAGCACAACAAAATTATTACAGGGTCAACATGGAGAAAGAATGGGCCTAAATCAAATGGGTTGGACTGGCACGGCACTGCCCATTTCACACCTCTAACTAATACAGTGCATCCATTTTAAGACTTATCTAGAGATTTACCTAAAACTCTCTTAGACAATAAATATTTTCTTCGGTAACCAAATAGTCTATATGTCCTAAATGTAGGAGGGAAGCGAGTGAAATTTCATTAGAGGAAAAGAAAAAAATTCTTTGCAAGTAACCTTGATTCAATCAAACATTTGACTCAGTCACGTTGATTGAGTCCAGAATAGCAACATTTGAGTGATCCTATTGTCCTTGGTTGAGTGATTCCCAGGTTAAACATGCTACAGATATCACACCCCTTTTAACCAATTTCATTCATCCCTACAACCCGTCCTAAACCAAAAACCATTTAGTGAGTTGGCAAGCGGGGGCAGCAAAGCACCTGTCGCCTAGCTTCAGATAAAAGACAAGCAAGTCTCTTGTCACTCTTCCTTGCGATGCCTTCCTGAAGGTGAGGCTCCAAGGGGAGTTTACTTGCTCGATGGTAGGGAGAGGGGTTAGGCTTCTGTCAAAGTCACGGCAGTCAGACACTCCTTTTAGAGTATTGTTGTTCGATCTAGACTCTCTTTATTACACTAGATTTTGGGAAAAGATCCTAAGATTGCTACTCTTTACTTCTATGAGTGTATCAGGCTTCCAATTTATATAAAATACCTTCCTATCAGGTTTATAATCGCAGTTGAACCGTCTTTTCATTTTGCAATTTCAATTTATATTTATATTGATTTCGCATAGAGGAAACCATAGGATATAAGTGCTTCGCTTTCTACATTATGTTTTGTTTTGAGAGAACATTATGTTTTAATATTAGTATGTACTGAGGTGAGGCCTTCTTTAATAGGTTTATCAAAGCATCAGGACTTACCATGGCTTTTAATTTTAGTGAAAACCTGAAAGATTCACTGAGTATCGTATATCCATGAGTATCTTTGTTGATGACAGGACTTGAGAGAACATTAGTTTTTTTATAAAACTTATATCCATGAGTATATTTGCTGATGATAGTTCTTCTGTTTTAGGAAAAAAAGAAAAAGAAAATTACTGCCCCCACAAAGAGCCAGTTGTTCACATGACATGTTACCAAGTGAAGTGACCAGAAAGCATCAAAGGAGTAAGCACTATATGAAGGAAAAAAAGACTGGCATAACAAAAACAGAATTTAGGAGGAAGTACAGTGGAAAAATGAATTCAGTTGTGTTGGCATAAATTTCATATTCATCAACCACCTCACTCCAAAGAAAGAGTAGAATTTCATAACGTCTAGAATTGCAAGATACTTAAAATGTTGTGAGAGGTACATCTAATACTAGTCACTCTCAGAATTCAATAGTCAAATGATTGAACTTATCATGATCTAGAAACATTAAGCATGCAAGCATGCCCAGATTCTCATTGATAAATGGAACCAAATAAGAACTTGAGGAAACAATATTGAATTTATAGTCAAGAATGAGAGCGTCACAAACCTGCTGGATCTGTTCTGCCATTTGGATAGCACAAGGTTCCATTGGCTAAATCAGTGCTGGGAGTTTGAGAGGGCCCTTTGATGGCTGAAAAAGGTGAGCCATCATTTTCTTGTTTATCCTGGCTAGAAGAGTTCTCAAGAGCAGATCCAAATTTTGATATATCTGCAATTAGTTTCGGAACCTCATTTAATTACCGCAATTGTTCTTATGGTGTTTCAAGCAGCAGCTTCTTAACAATGCTGAATCAATAAATTAGAATTAGAAGCTTAGCAAACCTGCTGGATCTATTCCGCCCTTTGGATAGTACAATGTTCCATTGGCTAAACCAGAGCTGAGAGTTTGAGAAGACCCTCTGAGTGCTTCAGGCAAGCCATCATGTTCTCGTTTATCATGGCTCGGAGAATTCTCAGGAGTAGGTTCAAAATTTTCTCGTTTATCAGAGCTGGGAGTTTGAGAAGATCCTCTGAGTGCTTCAGGCAAAACATCACGTTCTCGTTTATCATGGCTCGGAGAATTCTCAAGAGTAGGTTCAAAATTTTCTATATCTGCAATTACTTCCGGAACCTCATTTAACAACCGTGATTGTTCTGATGGCATTTCAAGAAGCAGCTTCTTATCCATGTACTGAGCAAGCGTATGCAGGTCAAGGGTCACAGATTTCTCATCTACATAAAATAGTACCAACTACCTAGGCATAAGGGGAATGCCAAATTTAAGTTTCATCTTGCAAACAATCCAAATAGGTTTAGTAATATAGACAATCTGATGAAGACCCAACCTGGAAATGTGCTAGAAACTGCAGTAGGACTACCCAAAGGGTGGAATTGATACCCTTTAAGCAGCATAAGAACATATTTCTGAAAATAATATGATCGACAAAAACCCATGACTAAGTTCCATTTAGCTCCATCTCGACTTAATACAATACCTAATAACAAGAAGCATACTTACTACTTCCCATTTGAAGGACATGCATTCAGAAGGTCACATAAGAAACTTACCGACTGAAAGAAAGTACAAAGACCTAAATATCTCCGGTCAAAGGGTCACATAAGAAACTTAATAACTGACACAAAGTGCCAAACGAAATATTAAATTGCATAAATGCAACAAACCCAAGGAAGTTATCAGAACTGTCCAGAATTTTGCGGTCAACTGGCTGCTTCACAATTTGAACTTCTCCCTAAATCTACGGGTTTCCACAATTATACATGTGTACAAGAGATGTTATTATTCCAAAATCTTTACTATGTTGATAGCATTAGTAAAAGGATATTCTCTCCTCCATCCTTTTTCATTTGCCTGGTCAATGCGCTTCTGCAACAGGGACAGCTCTCTTCCCATCCACTGAGATGTTTATGACCAGATAATGCAAAGATGAACAGCAAAATCAACCGCCAAGCAAGAATGAGAAAATCCAGATACCAGAAAGACAAGCAAATAATGGAGGGTATGAAAATCTAATAGAAAGAACAGATCATTGCACAATGCCTTATATTGCATTTGAGCTTAAATATCTGTTCGATAAATCATTGGCATTGTGAGCATTCATGGTCAAGTAGTTATTTTCTAAATACTACTTTATATTAAAAATGAGTTCTAAGTAAAGCTCTGGTGACTCTGAGAACAATATAAATCTAATTGAAATACAGAACAAAACATAATTTTATAATTTATCTCTATGATATATACAAGGGAATACTCAGTATGTAGTCCCAATCACTCCGTAATGGCGCAGGGTAGAAATTTTAAACAGTGTGGCAATCTGTTGGTGGGATTTCCCTACAAAGCTAAACGAGGGTACATGGTTTCATAAAGCCTGTTTGGCCGAATTAGAAATTTCCAAAGATGGTTTTTCATTTTCGGCACTATTTCTGCTCTCTAGAGTTAAGAATTGCTTCTAAACGCAGGGACCAAACAGACTTTTTTAATTTTTGGCTTTAAAGTTTAAAATTTTCATTTACCATTAAATAGAATTTTTATATATATTTTTTTAACAGTTCAATCAAATCATAACTTACTGTCCAAATCTTTCTTAAGCATGCCCCATACCCATTTGCTAGACACCTGAAGTCACACTTCAAGCTATTGGGAATCTTGAATGAATTATCACAGCATAGAAAACAGACATTCTTTTTAGGGGTTAAATCAAGAAAACATTCGTGCTTCATTATAACCTCGTGCAGACGTCTAGCCTTCAGTTCAAGCTCTGCCTATCAACAAGAAAGTTCTGGGTAACAGGTTGGAATATATACAAATACTAGCTGCAAACCCGGGTATTTCAGAAGAACTTACAACAGTGGGCTTTTTAAGTAGGCCATCTTTCACTCTCTGATGCAAATCTTCACATTCTTCCTGTGGAAAACAATTACGAAACATAAATATGCAGTAACTGTAATTGATTTGCACTCTGTTCTTAGGTGTAGAGGTAAATCCTCTCTACCACTGGAACTATGATTTGTTTTTGAAATTAAAGAACAATCTCTATGGGTAATAGGGAACAACAATTAAGCACAAGACTCAAAGTTCCCTTAATGACCATGAATTACTAAAAATTATATCTGACAAACCTTATGGTACCTTACAGTGCTCAACTCTGGACAAGCTCAGCTCTAACCTAGAAACCTGGCCTATATCTTTAATTTTCTAAATAGTGAAAAAACTTAACTGACAAAAATTTCATTCTAATAACCTTATTTTTTAAATAATAAAACCACCATAGTTAACTTTGACTACTTATTTGAAATTTTTTATCATTCAACAATCAAACAGTCACAATTATATTACCTGACAGAAGTCATCATCTGACAGCTTGCTGATAGGTACATCTTTTGACATATTGGAAAACTGCAAGAAAACTTCTGTATTCATAACACCAGTCCTCGAAGTTTTCTTTATGCCTGTCAAGAGGACAATATAATACAAAGCAAGAAGGGTGATCATCCGAGGACAAAACTAACAGGATTATAGTTTTAGCATTTATGAATTAGGAGGCTCTCCATTTGAAGGCTAAATATTGAGGTGATCATACAACTAGTGTTGAAAATATAAACATCTAACATCGAATATCCTAAGCCTTGCATCTATAATAAAAAGCCTAGCAGTCTCTTCATCCAGACCAATTGATTTTGCGTTGGATGCTCTAACTTCATCATGGTATAAGAATGAGCAATCAATTCATTCACATTTCAGGAACAATTTGTCCACGTGTGCTTCACATCACCTATTATAGTTGATCCATGTGTTTGACTTAAGCAGGCCCACATGGGTATTCTAAGCATTGCATCTAAAAAATATAAAAACCTAAGCCCTCCATCCATTGGCAATTGGTTTTGGGTTGGATACTCTAATTATCACAATTCATAACATCCAATCACTATGAGACAGCTTGAAGTTACATATCAAAAGGAGATAAATTTTCTTATTAAGTAATACAAATTTTGAGCCTAAATAGATAGAACTCATAAAAGCCTAACTCAGTATTATTACCTGTTATTTAATCTATCTGACAGTCCACTGTAACAAATAAATGTGAACTATATGAAATCAGAAATCATTTCAATCAAGTCTGGAAATAAGAGAACCTAAACCTTTGAAGACACCTGAGTCAAATCTAGAACAAACTTCATGGAAATAATTTAAAATTCCATCCCTTTCTCATAGTGCTGGATTTGGATAATGAGAGCATGAGGATTTTGGTTTATGCTGTATAGTTAAATTGTGCACATGGAATTTGAAATTAAAATATATTTCAATTTATATTGGATAAAGGAACGACACACAAGTTTTCAGCTCAAACAATATCACTTCCTACAAGATATTATTAATCATTGGATCTAGTAATTTCAAATTCAGAAAGCTGCATATTATTTCACCATTCCAAATTCATTTCAATAAAATGTATCTAACAATTTTATGGTTCTTTAAACCAATTTAAACAAACATTCCTCAAATATATTTGGATTAAAAAAGTCTTTCCCTGAGCTACTTTCTGTACAAAAAAAAAAAAAAAAAAAAAAAACTAAATAAAACAATGTAATACTGCCACCAGATTAATTGATGAGCCCCCTCAATAACATCAATCAGCCAAAATAGAACAATTGAAATGCTAAAAACTAGAAAGAATGCTGTTTTGATACTTCAAAGAAAACCAAATGCTAATCGCCTAATGAAATAAAACGTATACATAGACATGTTTTTCTTTTGACAAAGTCTTAATACTTAGTTTTCATTGATAACCACGAGCCATATCTATTGGAAAAGTTTTCATTCAAACCTGCAAGCCGTATCTGTTGGAAAACTCAACTCCATACCCTTAATAAATTCAAAACAAGTTCAATCTATAAGTATGATCATCTTACAGGTTGCTTTATCTCTTCACAGATTCTGCTCAATTAGCACAAAAAGAGATGTTTGTGTTGAGAATATAAACCCCACATCGGAAATGTGAAGCATAGGACCCTAGTTCATAAAATCTAGGGCCTCTCCACCCATTCCCAATTTGTTTTGGGTTGGATGTCCTAATTCTTTCAGTGTATCAGAGCAGACAATCCACATGTTAGGCCCCACATGCTCCCAAACCCAATATAAGTTATTGTGAAGGGCATGCTGATTGTGGTACAATCAGAACTGTAAAAGCTTGAGCTGTTATGAAATGAGGCCAACAATATATATTAAGCTAACACCCCCATCATGCGTGTGCAACATCTACAATGCACTTTTGAGATCAATAAACAAGTGGGAAACATGGATTGTTGGTTTGGAACCTAAAGACCGTATGCAACCAAAACTCTGATACAATGTTTGACAACCACCTTACTCCAAAATCTTGAACTGTAGGAAATGGGCTAACGGTTCATATCAAGTTAACACGCTGAATTAAATATTGACGATATTTTATTTTGTCTAATATCTGACAATAGCAGACGTTGCAATCTCTGTTAAAAATATATCCCCAGCTAACAAACACGACAAACAGACAGATGGTATTCCCCTCGGCTAACACCAAAAATATAATGGATCTTACTTCCACGAATTGCTGAAAACAATTTCCAGCAAATGGAGTTGAGTTCTAATATCCACACAAAAATAAATAAAAAAAGGCGAACAATAATTACTGTTAAATATTAGTAGCCATTGCTAAGAAATATACCTTTAACTTGCAAGAGCTGGTGAGAATTTTTTTGTGAATAATCATTTGGGTCAGATTTGACTCTCACGAAACTTCCTACTACTTTCTCATCAAAAGTCTCAGGTTGCTTTAACAATTCCTCCACCAAGCTCCTTTTCAGGTACAGAAGCCTGATGTTTTCAGCAATTACGGAAGCAAAACAGCTTTTACGCACATTTGGAACTACTTTTTTCTTTTGAGGTTGTCCATCTGAGATCAACTTGTTCTGCCTTTTACAGATCACCATAAAATTCTGATCTTTGTCTTCGGAACTAGACCCAGTCTCATCATCCTCGGTTAACTCCAGATTGTCACAAAAATGAGCAGTCAGAAGGTTATATATCCTATTTACACTCGTTGATTTCTTTCCTAAAAGAGACTGTAGCACTGCATCAAAAATTACTTTCTTCCTTTTCTGTGGGTCAAAAAGGTTGTTTTCTTTACAGTAGTTTGTAACTACAGTGGTAACTTCATTCTGCGATAACTCTTTGCTTGTGTCCTTACCAATGGAAGTGAGGAAACTTAAGAGAGATTTTGACCCCCATCCTATAAACTCTATTTTCTTTGCTTTTACTTTTCTTTTCATTGCACTCAGCTTTCCCTTGGACCTCTTCTTTTTGCTAACTGGCATGTATTCTTCTTTACCTTTCCAGTCATCATAATCACTTTCTTCATCAGATTCAGAAAAACTTTCTTCTGTTTTACGAATTTCATTTGACTCAAAGTCACACCTGTAGTTCTTACCACTCTTCAATAAGTTTTTTGCATGGTGAACATGTTCTGCAGATAAGCCTTGCTTCTCTTTTATTATTTGCCAATATTCCTGGAATAGGAACTCTAACGTATTTCTTTCTTTGAAGTCTACTCTGCCCTGAAAATCAAAAGAGCATATTCTGAGGTGACAAGAGAACAAAGCAGGAGTTTTATATTATCAAACCACAGAAGACTGACAAAAAAAAAAAAAAAAAAAAAAAAAAAAAGGATAAAAAAGGAGGGAAAACAGCATTATAAGAAATAAATTCATTCATTAACCGAGAAAAGTAACCAGGTCACAGGTCACTAATTGAACCATAGGGTCCATCCCGAGTCATATAGTTGACAATTTGACATCACAAATAAAAAAATTTAATTTATTCACATACATACATTACCCAAAAAAAAAAACATCCATTTAATTGTACATCAAAGAAATAACAGTACAACTTCAAGTGAAAAAGGATAAAGTATTTAAAAGAAAAAACCAATTATTATTTCAAAGTTTCTCTTATGGACTTTACGTTCTCAATAGATTTCAAACTGTATATCACTAATCCAAACCATCTATGTTTTAGGTCTTCCAACCAAAGATCATCCCTGCAAAAAAAATCATTCAAATCCAAAACCATTTAACTACTCAATTAAATGGTTGTCATTTTAGTGTTTTCTTGAAGCACCATGTTCGTCTAATTTTGTTGGTAATAACTACATGTTTTAATGGTTTTCAATTTGTCTAATTCTTTTGCAACAATGATCCATGAATGAAGAGTTGAAAAATAGACAGTTTGGATCGTTGAAATACAATGCATGGTGGACCTGATAAGGTGGTCTCAATTAAGGTAAGATTATTTGAGGAATCCTTCAAAAGAAGGGGACTCTATGTATGCATATTGTGTATTATGTATGCAGAAGCGATAAATGAAATTAAGAGACACCTTTTCTTAAAATTAATCAGAAACAAGCATACCCCATCAGAATCAACATCCAACTTTTCTTCTATCAGTATTGCAAGCTTCAAGCAATGACTGCAAAATCCTTCACCCCCTTTAACAAGGGCAAATTCAGCATCCCAGAGACAGATTCCACATACACCTTTTGGGCAGCAAAAGCAATGAAACTTCGCAGTTTTATGGCATATGAAGCAAGAATGCCAGTCTGAAATGTTGAAAAAAGGAAAACAAATTAAAATTAAAATTGGAAGACATCTTTGAGGTGAATAATTAAGACATGTCTAGTCGGGTTTCACGCACAGCATAAGATAGTTTTTGAGAATGCACGTACAGTATAGCATATTGAATGCAGTAAATCTTGCCATATTTTATTGACAATGACAAGATGTAAAGCTGAATCATCACCACAGAATAAATTTTGAGCTTACTGCAAGTCCAGCGATCTTTGCTCTTCAAAAATGAGTCATCTTTTCCAGCACATTGAGGATGATAAACTTTAAGACAATCCCTGAGAAATACAGATAGACACTTCAACTAAATGACCAAAAGTGAAATTAAGAGGGGAGGTGAGGGGGAGTTCTTCCTTTCAGAATCTCATCCTTGACTTACTGCAAATTGTTTTTTCATAATCTTACAGCTGGTTAGATGATGAATATCAAGGCACAGAATGTTAAGTATCTTAATGAGAAACATATCATGCTCTAAGTCGTAGATAAAACTTGAGCGGTCAGTACAAAACATACCAGCTACTTGCATGCTAAAAACCACTGTTATTCTAACCATTGAATTTTCATCCAATGGCATAGAACATGATATGTGTCTTAATGTTATGTGCCTGAAATTCACATTAGTGAGATGCCCCTTTGATGATTCAAATGAGAAAAAGTCCTATAGTACATTTCAAACAATGAGTAACTATCCTTGTCTACCTTTCTTTTCGTTCAGGTTTTTGGGGCCCTAGATCCTCAAAATACCCAACTAGTTCTTAATAAACACACTGTAATTCGGTTAAATTTACCATGTAACGAAATGTAATCAATGAGAATCACATTCTTAGTTAAATCGATTTTTGGATTGTCCATATTCTGTTTAGGGCTTAGGGTATAGTCTCTAGAATTTAGAGGTAAAAGCTGAAAATCCTAAAAACCCTAAATTATAAACCCCAAAAACTAACAAATAAGCCGAACAGAACAAAAAAGCAGGAACCTCTTTTGGTACTTATGGCTAATTTTCTGGGAAAAAATGTGGTATAATTCACAAGGACATCTCAAAACACTAGCAAATGAACACGGTCATATAACATGTAGCCATTTATTATCAACGAAAACCATTATTACCTACTAGAATTTCAATTTTCAATAAGATCTCAGAACTCACTTGTAGTCGCAAACCCTGACATCTCCTCCATCTTTGCAAGCAAAGCAATAATCTTCACAAATTTCTTCCTTCCTTCTTTTGTTCTTCCTCGGCATATTGTTCAACCCTCTTTCCTGTTAATTGATCTCCAACCCCAAAATTCCAATTCAACCACAACCCCAGTTCTTGTATCCCAACAGCTTCCCCTAAACCTGCCAAATAAACACAAGTTAAAAAAATATTCCATTTGCTATCCTCCACAGCACCGAAGAAAGAAAAGAACAAAACAAAAACAAAGAAAAGCCTTATTTTAGAAGAAACTTTAAAAACCCAAATGACAACGAGAATATTTTGAACCACATTGCAGTAGTGTAGTTCTAAAGGCTACTCAATGAGCTTCTTCTTTCTTCTTCTTATATTCTATCTTCTGTGAAAGTTCCTCTCTCTATTCAACATTTCATGTATTTAAGTTCCTTTTATCAAATGACCGGATCCTTATATAAAGAAAATATAAGAGACCCATTTTGTTAAAAAGCAAAGAGCATACCTGAAGCTGAAGGGCAGTGAAGAAGAAATACAATGCTGCAATGGCGCTTTGTGTAGAAACCACTTGAGAGAAAAGAAGGAACTTGACGCCAGGAGAAAAACTTAGTTGCAATGGGTATAGCACTATTTTGCTATTCTGACCAATAATACTATGCCACATGGAAGTATTGTCACACTATCAAAACGTGATTAGTTGGGAATAGCAAAATAGTGTTATTCACGTTTATCGAAGTCTTTCTCCTTGAACCAGAGCCCTCTGCAGCTTTGGCGCTTTCTGATGAGTAGCGTTTTGCTTGACTGAGTGATTGTTGACAATAAATATAAAAGCATGCCGTTGAAATTTTGCCTCGCACATTTGGGTAGGAAGGCCGTGGGTCAAATGGGCAGCAATAAGACGGTAAGTACTTTTATGAGTTGTTTTATGATGAAGGTGTCATATATGGACATTCATATTATTATTAGTCATATGATTCATCTTAATAATAACTTCACTTAAGTTTAATGAAAGGCCAAAAGTCACTTTTGATCCATGTAGTTTTAATTTGGTCATTTTTGCTATTGTAATTTCAAGATTGTAGCAATTGAAGGACAATTAAAGAATTCCTTCATTTTTATTCGCACCGTCAAGGGTATTTATGTCTAATTAGAAAATTTCTACCATTTTATTCGCTCTAAAACTCTTCATTTTATAATAGGGCCTTCGACAAATTTCCCCAAATTTCATAATAGAAACTTGGTTTTGGAAGAACCCTAAACCCAAATTCCCATTTTTCGCACTCTAACATGAAATGGAGAGTTTCAACTTGAATAAAATGGTAGAAATGGCCTAATTGGACATAAATACCCCTGACGGTGTGAATAACATTAACTTAAATCTTTAATTGTCCTTAAATTGCTACAATCTTGAAACTATAATGGCAAAAGTGACTAAATTGAAACTACATGGACCAAAAGTGAAAAAGAGGCAAGCTATAGGGACCAAAAGTGACTTTTGGCCTTAATGAAATGATCATATGACTAATATATAGGTCCACATGAAGGGTCCATATATGACACCCTCATTATAGCATTTCGTGTACTTTTATATCATTTCTTCTGAAGTGGTATAGAGCAATATGGGGACTTTTTTCTCCTTTTTTTCTTTTTGCGATTTTAAATTGTTGTTTAATCAATTATTTGTGTTTGAATCTCCCTTTCATGATATTATTTGTATGGAAAAAAAAGTTATTGATACACTATTTTTTCTAGACAATAATACTATTTGGACCATATTTATTGACCACTTTAGTGATTATCTCTCTAATAGAGGTGGACCCCCATTAATGTATGTGAAAACCCACATGTATTAGAGAGGTAATCAAAAATGTGATTGTGGTATAACTAACATCACCTATTTTTCATAGAATATACCCACTATGATTTTACGCTAGGACGTGATTCCCATTCTGCTACTCCCTGCCAAAAAGCGACCGGTCCCCTAGGACTTTCGATCAATTGGCGCTGCTGCAGCATGCCGTTTCCTCATCCTCCGCATCTGGTTTTGAAAGCCAACATCAACAAACCATGCTTTTGACTTGACGGTACTTTTCTCAAGAACAAATATAAAGAGCACATGCATGTGGCTCTAAGAAAGAATGGTAACTATTCTAAGGTAGAAAAATTCAATTACCAAGTGTGTGTTCTTTACGAGTTAATGACCTAAATGGTCCCTCAACTATTGCTCCAGTATCATTTTAGTCCACCAACTAAAATTTTTATTTCAAACGTCCTTAAACTTTTTATTTTGTACTAAGATGGTGCATCCGTCAAAGTATGTGTATTATTCCGTGAAATTAAGGGACAAAATCGTATTTTTAGGTGAGTATCCTCTTGTAAAACGACCAAGCCAATGCAGGATTGCATTCCCTTATATTTATGTTAAAAGCTCCACCAAAGAGGGAAAACCAACTTACTCGCGACCTTCCGCTTGACAAAAGTCAACGAGATCTCGCAGCCGCCCCTAATAATAAGGAAGTTGCGGAGGAGGAGGAGGATGAAGACAATGCTTCTGCTCTGCCGTCATCGTCATCCTCCGACGTGGATGAACTGGACTCGATCCCACAGGGGACGTACTGCATTTGGATGCCGAAATCAGCGGTGGCACAAGACGCTCGCAGGAAGTGCAAGATTAAGAGCAAGTTGACCGGAACGTCATCGTCTAGGCGGTGGAGCATAAAGGATTTTTGGGAGGGAATGCATTCCTACGTTGGCTTGGTCGTTTTACAGGAGGATACTCACCTAAAAATACGGTTTTGTCCCTCGATTTCAAGGAATAATACAGAGACTTTGACGGATAGACCATCTTGGTACAAAATAAAAAGTTTTAAGGACGTTTGAAATGAAAATTTCAGTTGGTTGACCAAAATGATACTTAACCTTTATTTTTTTATACAAGCGATATTGGATAGGAGGGGTTTTCTACACACTGTCAATGTGCCATAAAAGTTCGAACCTAAAACCACTAGTCTAAATCAATACACTTTCTACTGGGCTAAAGCCTGTTGGCACCAAGTGTGCTTTATATTGATGGCACATGAGTTTTAATATTTTCCTTATATTATTTCCATTCAATTGTCATATTATTATTTTTCATTCAAATGGTAAAGATGGAATTAACTACTAAGGAAAGCACATTAGTAGTTGATAACCCACAAGGTCGCAGCTAGAAATCTAATGCAACATTCAGGCAGGTGCACTAATCGGACAAGATTATCCCCTCCTCAAGTTATTTAAAGCAACAGCCTCTGAATAAAAATATAAAAGAATGAGGAAAAATATCAATGAAAAAGGCAGGTAACAGCAAAGGCTGCTACCAATAATCAAGGCAGGAACATTTTCCGTCCTTGAAATGGTGAAATCTGCTTCCATCCCTCACTATAATTTCTCTCTCAAACACCTTTGAAATTATCTTGCTTACCTCATGACAATCCTCACAAACTCTCAAATTCTTCACAATTCGAATGCAATCCCCAGCCCCTGTTACAAGCAAGCCAAAAGCCATCGCAAGCCGCTCACTATGCTCCTTTATTGCATTCTCCTTTTCTTCCTCCCCTATATCATGCAAAACTGATGAAACATTTGGTGAGTAGCCAGATTCTGCTATTCGTGTTCCAATTTTCTCCAGCATTTTGTAAATCTCCAGAGAACGTTCATGCTCTCTATCCCCTGCAACAAATTTATGAACTGTACCCTGCGCTTCAATCAAGCTCCAACCTGCAGCTTTATTGGTGTTTTGCGCAACCAATAATCTCCGAACTCTAATAACATCTTCCCATTTCCTTGCTTTTGCATATATACTAGCTAGTTGTACATAATGCCCATCATGGGTTGGATCCAATTTAAGTAACTTCTTCCCAATCTTCTCACCCAATTCTATCGATCCATGTATCTTACAAGCACCAAGTAGTGTTGCCCATAATACAGGATCTGGTGGAACCGTCATCTTCTCGATCAACTGAACAGCTTCATCTAAAAAACCTGCACGGCCCAACATATCAACCATGCACCCATAATGCTCCATCTCAGGTAATATGCTATACTTCTCTGTCATCAACTTAAAATGACGTCTTCCCTCACTCACCAAACCAGCTCTACTACAGGCACCCAAGACACCAATGAAAGTGACATTCACAGGATGGAAACCCTCATCAATGAACCTTTGAAAGAGTGCAAGTGCTTCTTTCCCAAGGCCATGTGAGGCCAATCCACAGATCATAACGTTCCATGTCCAAATATCTTTCTTGGGCATATTTTTAAACAAAAGTTTAGACTGTTCGATGCATCCACATTTTGCATACATGTCAATTAGAGCTGTGCCAAGGGAAACAGTCAACGGGAAATTCAAGGACTCTACAAGGGAGTGAACTAATCTACCATGTTCGAGCAAACCCAATTGTGCGGATGCTGAAAGAACTGAGACTAATGTAGCCTCATTTAGCCTCATCCCCTTCTCTCTCATCTGTTTAAAACACTCCAAACCTTCTTCTAACCGCCCATTCTGCACGTTACCCGAGATCATCGTACTCCATGAGATCACGTCTCTCTCCGGCATTTCCTCAAACAGCTTCTCTGCAGCACCAATCTGTTCGTCTCTTAAAAAAGCCGTTAGCATTGAGTTCCAGGTAACTACATCTCGGGAACTGGCATTCTCCTCAAATAACCTTTTCGAGCATTCAATTCTACTACAAGAACAGTACAAATGAATCAAAGCATTCCGTACAAACACGTATCCGCCAAAACCAAGTTTTACAGCAACAGTATGAACCTGAGCTCCTTCATTGAGAGCCAAAGCCCTGCTGCAAGCTTGCAAAAGAAAAGTAAAAGTATGGTTGTTGGGTTTCACGCAAGTTCGCAGCATGGAGGAGAACAGAAGCAGGGATTGAGGAGGCGAATTGCTTTTTGCGAAGCACCGGATCATGTTATTGGTAGCGAAAACACTTGGGTATTTGATGGATTGGTAAAGTGAGAGAGAATAGTGAAATGGGGTTGATGGGGACAGAGCAAGAAAGCAGAGGAGGTGAGAAATGAGTGGCGAATCAGCTGCGAGGCCCGAGACGATGATTTGAGCATGGGCTTGCTTGGTTTGGGGGATGGAAGGGCGTGATGGGAGAGAAGAGAGAGGTGGTGAAAGTTGGGAATTAGAAATGCGTTTTGGGAGAGAAAGGAGGAGGGATTTGGGCTTATAAGCAAACATAAAGAAGCTCTCTCTCCTCTCCTCCAACTCCAACAAGTTTTGATTCATTGCATAATTTTGAAAACTCTTTAGCACAAAATGGCGGGTATGAGAGATTTATGCGTTTTCCGCTTTAAGCCTGTCATTAGGGATTATTAATTTATTTGATAGGTTGGTTGTCATTAGGGATTTTTAATCAATAATTCTCTTTTCCTTTTTGCCCTTGGGATTTTTGATTCTTGTATTGTTTTATTAATCCTTTGTTCTTTGAATAAAATTGTTTTTTTAAAGAGAAAAACAGTATACAAGGGTAGTAATTATGGTTGGAACTTGGAATGGCAAGGATCTAAGCCAAAATAAATAAATTTGTCTATGAAGAAGATTTATCTGTGTAAAACGATGAGCTTAATTTGTTGACCGTTCAAACAATAAGCCAAATTTGCACATGGGGCGACACCACAATGGAAAAGTGGCCAAACTCTCCCCCTCCCCCCAAATGCACCTCGGTTCGATTCATGTAAGAGACATTGATATAAGAAGCGGTTTCTATATATAAAATGAGTGATGTATTGTAATGCATTCAAAGAAATGCAAGAAGACTAATTGAAATTACAGTAAATATTTGCTTCCAAATCTATAAGTGTACAGGGTTAGAAACAAAGTATTCCTCCAAAAAGCTACTGGAAATCTGGCAACCTGTTTCTCCCTACTTGCTATAGCTGTCTCTCTACATTAACAAAAATTTCTGATAATGTACAATTTTCTTGTCTCTCTACCTAACAGTGACCCAATCTTCTGATGACTCCAAGTGACTCTCAGTCTGCTGCCTTCTTGTGCTTCGGTTGCCTTCATCACAGCACTTTGAGAAAGGATTTCTGCTCGGGATGCTCGGGAAATCATCGCGATCGTGAATCCCCATTCCATGATCTGATGAGTAATCAGAACCCTCCTCACAAATTCGAATGTCTAGAGTACTTGCAGGTGAGCAAGCCACACCCTTTCTTGAAACTCTCATTGAATTTCCTGATACAAATGGATGGTTAAGCAATTCCTCAGCAGACCACCTCCTTTTCGGGTCTCTCTCCAAGCACCTTGCTAAGAAATCCAACCCCTCATCTGAGAAATGTCTTGGAAACTGAGGCTTCTCATTGCCACAAGCAATCTCCAAAACAGCAGCCACCGGATTCGAAGTCTTGGTACCCCAAGGAGGCCTGCCAGTAGCCATTTCAATGACAGTGCATCCCAATGACCAAATATCCAAAGCGAAATCCAGCCCTTCATTTCTCAAAACTTCAGGAGCCATCCACAATGGAGTCCCACCAACAGATTGCACAGCAACCTGCACGGAAACCCCATCAGCCTTTGAGTCCTTTAGCCTCTTAGCAGAGCCAAAATCCGCCAGCTTCACATTCCCGGAGGAGCCCACGAGCACATTCTTGCACTTGAGGTCACAATGCACAATCCCATTTTCATGAAGATGCTTGAGACCATGAAGAATCTCTCTGGTGTACAAACGAACCACCTCTTCCTCCAATGCACCACCAAATATCTGTGACACATCTGACAAGCTACCCCCTGCCATGTACTCCATGAACACATTGTTGCATTTCCCTTCACCATTTTCCTTCCCCAGGCATCGAACAACGTATTGCGAATTCAAACTCTTGAGAATCTTTGCCTCATTCTCCAGAGCCTGAACTCCATGCCCAGACGCTGCAGATTTCACAACAAAAAGTGCTCCTGTGGCTTTGCTCATGGCCAAGTGGACACTGCCAAAAGCACCAGATCCAACCAGTTTGCCCTTCATCCATGCACCAGGCAGAGGAGATGTGCATTGATCAGAATTTGAAGCCATGCCTTATCTTCTTTGAAGGAGTATTGGTTATTATTAGATATCTTGAATTGGGCACAAAAACCCAACTCAAAGCATGAAATTCTGGTCCCTCTAAATGCATGCAGAGTAAATAAATATATAAAACTAAAACTGATGTGTTTACAGAGGATTTAAGAAACCCACAAGAAGAAAAAAGAAAACAGGTTGATGAAAAAACTTGTCAACAGTTCCAGAATGAATGGAAACATATATAGACAAGGAGTTATTTTGGCCTTAAACTGAAAATTCAATGACAAAATTACTTCTGCTTTGATGGCAGTCGAATTTTCAAAGATATAATGACGGTAGAGCGGTTTCCCTTCAGATGGAAAACCGCCCTAGCAGTGGGAGATTTCTCCCTCCTCTTTACTAACTGAGAAGTTTGGTTTTCTTCTCCTTCTTGTTACGTACAATTTATGTCCTGGAAAAGAAAATTTGAATTGGGGTTTTGAATTTATAAATATCAAGTCTGATGGGGAAGAAATAATGGTTGGCCATCCTAACCTTGTGGAACTCCTGGAGCCTCATTGGACAGGGCCACAAGAAGCATCAAAGAAAGACCTAATGGGTACCTGCCACGTGGCAGAAACTAAAATCAAATTCATACTTTCCAGACAGAAAAAAAAATGACAATTTTCAGTTACTGCCGCTTTAGAAATTAGGCAGAAAAAGAACGGCTATGAGACACTGAATTTCTCGCCATTCATTCTAAGGAAACTGCTTTCTACATGCCGCAAGTGTGTCTAATACTTGAGAAATATATTTTCATTTGAAACACCAGAAAACTGGATGCTCCAGCTATGGGCTGGCTGGGCTCATGCCCAGCCCAAAATTTTGACCGAAAAAAAAAGGTAAGTAACTTGCCCAGCTAAAAATTCAAGGCAGCCCAAAATTTTGACCCAAAAAAAAACCGTAAGTAACTTGCCCGGCCACAAATTCAAGGCAGCCAAAATTAAAAAACAACTAGCCCACTTACTTAAACTAGCCCACTTAAACAATATATGCAGTGCAAGTGCAGCAGCTCAAATTAAAAGGGATCCCGCGTGCCGCAGCCTTCAGTCAGCCACCATCAAAAGAGAAACTTCCAACTTCTCTCCGTCTCAACCTTCAGCCACCATCAATTCAACTCTCAACTTCTTTGCAGGAGCAACTTCTCTTCTTGGCAACAAGTATTCTTCTCTCATTCTCTCATTTTAATTATCGTATGCTCTTTAATTTGAATAGAAATATTCTATGGTTTAATTAGGAATGAATTCTAATTGGGAGATTTTGTTGAAATTAATTAGGGCTTTGATTTTAGGAATTTTGTTGAGATATTTAAGAATCGAGCTTTCTCATGTATGAGAATTATTAAGAATTGACTTCGAAGCACCATAAGTGATGAATTTCTTGGTGATTGTATGCTCCTCCACATTGAAAGAGAGTTTGCCAATGCTATTGACAATGCATCCATAATTGAGGAATTTAAGAGTTCTAAGCCTCGTAGGGTTAAATTTTAGTTTTAAATAATGTTGTTTTGTATTGCATTGCATTGCATTTAACTTTTGTTTTTATTTTAGTTTTTGTATTTGTAGATCTATATGTATCTTTTTATGTTTATTAATGAAATTCACTCGTACTGTCGAGTTTATTACATAAATTTTGCCCGGTCGACTTTCGAATCCTGGAACTGCCACCGCTTAGACAACATTTTTTTCGGGACGATATTCTAAACTACTTTATGAGGAGGGGGATTCAAACTGAACACATCTAGCATTATGGTCCCTTCATATAATTTATATTAATTATAGGACATGAGTAATCCAAAAAAGATTTCAAATCCAATAGTATATAACGGAAGCCTAATTGCTTTCTTGTTATTGAATTACACAACATCACTATACATAGTATATACATGAATTTATAACAACAATCAAAATTCAAGATGTGCTATAATACTGGCAGAAATTTCACTCATATCCACAACCTCTTGCAAGTATAATCGAAGACAGCCTGTAAAATACTTCTTGATTCTTCCTCTTGTGGCAACTTTAAAAGCTGAGCAACTTTTGCAAATCCAACCTTGTGCCTATGCAAAGAACCTTCATCTGCTTCTAATTTCGCCTCCTGCTTGAACAGCGTCGGCTTTGATAATGCCCAGTGCATTGACCAAATGGCCAGAGGGCGCATGTAAGCTAAAGATCTGAATTCGCCACTGGTGGTCCAAGCTTCGGGTGTCTGAAAAGCGTATCTGTTGATAAGATAGTAGAGAGTTAAGAAGCAAGAAAAGGACTTTTGATTTTATGTAAACTTTTACCAATCTTTAGCTCGCTGGTTACCAATTGTAAAGTTAACTCACCCAAGACCTTCTTTGGACCATGCAGCTTCGTAGACTCCACCTGCAGTATGAAATGCCATATCAATCATATCTTCATGGATCATTGTTGCAGCAACAGCATATGTGACTCCAGACCATATTTCTCTCGACTGCATTGACGACATGTCAACCTTTCCATCAGGTAGCATCCCGTTAACAGCTCCTTGTCTCCCATCCTTAAATTTTAGGACATTGTAAGTATAAACCTTTTCCAGTGCACTTCGTGCCTTGTCTTCATCAACAATTGGTAAAAGACCACAAGCTCTGGCATACCTGCAAAGTAGCTAGACAGTAAGTCTTAATTCAGGATTTTTATCTAGTTTGTTTTCAAAGTATCTTTTACTATGGGAAGAGAAACAAACTAGGGGAAATTTATTTAACTGTATTCTCATATCAATAGGGAAACCTAGGGTAAGATTACAAGGGATCGCCTAGTTATATAGGCAGGCAATCTAAGATAAATCCTAAAAAGACAAAGAAACATAGAAATAAGTTACCCCATAAAAACAAACATAGAAAGTGAACAATAAAGTAGGCTAATTATTAGCTTTGTGCCTATGCCTAAATGGGTGCTTACATGCCAGTTTATGCTCTAAACAAGTGATAAATTATCTGACATGTAAACAGACTTACAATTATGGACATTGTTTTGTTTTGAACTTTTCGTGCTTTTCACGGAAAAGTTTAGACCATTTCTGTCTTCAAACAATAAGAAAATAATTTCAATGTGTGTAAGCCGAGCTCATGTATGTTTGTGTTTGTGAAAGAACTCTTTTAATTAACATGCGCAACATATCTAAGATGTTACTTCAGTCACAACAGACCATTGTCCGGCCAATTGATCAGCTTGAATTGATGAACTTGAACTTTGACCACTGTTGTCATAATTAAAGTAAGATCCATTCCATAATTTCTCATACACAACTTTTGCCTTCTGAAACTTGCCCCAAAAATAATCCTCCGAACCCTTGTCACCTACTTCTCGTGCCATGGCTGATGCAGCCTGCAATGCAGCTAACCACAACCCACCACTATATGCACTCACACCAGATACGGACCATGTATCATAAGTCTGATCAGGGAAGCCGTCATTCTCAATCATTCCATCGCCATCCTTATCAAATTGTTCCATATAAGCCATTGCAACATAAACAGAGGGCCAAACGGCTTGTGCAAACTTCTTATCACCAGTGGCAACCACATCCCTGTAAACTTGGAGAACAAACTTGGGATTCAAATCTTTCCACCTATCTGTGTTATACAGGTTATAAGCATTTACTTCAAACCAGGGGTCATGGAGGCCAATATCATGAGGAACAGCTCCAAGAACCTTTCTTTGGACCCATGTTCCATCATGAAGAAGTCTCATCTTACTGGGGTCATGCATCATTACTGCTGCTGCAAAGTCTCTTTGGATGCTGAGTTGAAGTTTTGGAAATAGCATGACTAGTGCAAAAGATGAGTAGAAATGGACATCATAAGTGTTCCACATCTGATATTCAATTCCTTCCAAATATAGAAATTGACCAATGTTTTCTTCTCCCTCCTGAAGCAGATTTGTTCCAAATGCAGAGTTTGATGCTATGGGCGTGTGAACTTGCTCAAGTATTGATGTCATCCTTCCAAGAATGTCAATAGCAGTGTCATTTTGAGGGGGTACATCAATGATGCTTTTCAAACCTAATGAGGACCTATCAAGAGAAAACTTCCTTCCTCCAATGCTTGTTAAACTATGCACGGGAGGTGAGCCATCTGAAAAAAAAAGATTATTTGAAAGAAAGATGAACTAATGTTTCATTACAAGTGTCAAATTTCACTGGAGAAAATTGCAAACTCAAAAAATACCTGTCCAAACTGTGCCGCCGGAATTAAGATAATAGAGCTCATTGAACAGAGTGATGGGGTACCTGCAGAGAACCTTGACAATCTTAGGAATCTGAAAAATGTGCAATCAGATTTCACATCTAAACTCACCATTCAGGAAGTCTCTTGTCATCAAGAACTGGTCTTTGCCATGATTCGATCTGGGACTCCCAATGGTGATGCTCTATATTTCAAAGAAAAAAAAACAACACAAAAAAAGAATGTAAGGGGAGTGATCACAATCAATAGATAATATAACAAAGTAATGATGAATTAGCATTTCCTAGTTAAAGGAGCAGGAAGTTACACACTCCTATATATGACCAGTCACCAATATACTATGTGACCATTAGAGCAGGGTAGCTTTGAACAATGTTCCTTTAGGCCTGGATGATGACACAAGGATTGTTTAAGAATGCATTGACCTAACCCATCAAATTGGGTACAATCACATTGACCAATAAGGGTTGCAAAACTAAAATAGGTGTCATGCATCATCTTTCAAATAAAAATTCTGAACTCAGCAATCAAGGAGTGGGGGAGTGAATATTTTCATCAGTGGTACTTATTGTGTTTCTAATGTCATTGTGCAGCAAAATGACACAAAAAGCCAACAGAATTTTGAGAAATACGAAGAACTGGCATATGATTTGCCCTAACTTAAGGGGTAAAAGCTTAATTGAGCACAGTTGAGTGTGAGGATAATGATCAAATTTAAAATTGCAATGTCATTTATAACGAACAGCCTTAATCTCAACTTTTG